ACTGCGGCCACTGAAACGTTCTATTTTCGAATCTCAATCAAATATTTTTTATTATTAATTTATTTTTAATTGATCATTTTCATTGAAATCTTGCCAGTGACTTGATTTTCAGTTTTTTTTTTCTTTTTTATGGCTCTCGCAGATTATTCATTTATCCTTGTTGAGGGGCTAGTGATATGGAGTATTATGGAGCCTTTTCTCTTGGTTATTAATTAATTATTCTTCAGTGATTTTTTTGTGCTATTAGTTTTTTTTCTGATATCGAGCTTATGTTTAAAGGCGCTTTCACATTTAGGCGATTTAGCTGCCGAAAATTTCATACTACGAGTATGTGACAGCGGATGCATGCCTTCACATTAATTAATTAACGGCTACTTGCGTTCGACGAATAATGAGATTAAAAAAGCTTTCAAATTCATGTTGTACGAGTACAACGGTTTTCAAGCTAAGTTTAAAATAACAAATCACATACCTATTTTTTTTGTCTGAAACGATTGCTTCCTATCCATAATAAGACCACCTAAATAAATTGTACCAGTTTAACTGTTTGTTTTCTTTATAATCAAAAGACCAAAACTGTGATTTTTTTTTGTCCTTTTTAATGTTACTTTTTATTTTACTTTAGGCGGGTATTAGCACTTCATCTACTTTTATTAAATGTAAATCTTGTTCAAAATTATAAATATCTGTCTATTCAGCCTTTCCTTAGTAGCTATCATCTTATACTTTGGGCCACACGCCCATCTTGAATACTTATCAGCACGAAACTGAACCGGCCGCTTGAAAATGAAAACGTAAGTCGATTAGATCCACAGTGGGGGCGGGACGAGCTCTCTTCGGCTTTTAATTACAAATCAAAGCATCAATAGGATTAATAGTAGAAATAACACATATTTGGGACACAAGCACTTATCGACACATATTTCTATTCATCAATAGTTTTCCTAGTAGCCAGAAGATAAGCTTTTGAGTAGGTAAAAAAAACTGCGATAGATTGCTTATAATTATTGTTGTTGTATGGAAATTCTATTGATAACGATACGTACAACGATACGTTGTCATCATTATCGTCCGAATTCTAAATCATAAATACCGTTTAAGACATATAAATCCTGTTCTTACCGTCGTCCCTCCACGTTTTATTATCGCGAAAGGAAATTACACCGATATCAACGAGTCCAATCTAGAGCTTTACATTGCATATTCTAGGAAATTCATTATTGCGATTGAAGATACCTACAATGTATTTGTTTCTTGGACTTTTCATCTAAGGTGATTTAAAAAATATACTATTATTTAGAAAAAGTATGATATCCATCCTAGACTAGGGGTTCGTCGAATAGCAGAAGCAGCGGTCGCACACAGCCGCCTCCTTGGTCGCGCGACACTGGCCGCCAAGAAACTGCATTCTTTTTTCTCGACGACCAATATCGATCTTGTTTTGTTTTATTTTCCCTCATGACTCGATTTTCTTACGACTCGAATTTGTAATTAAAATATTCACGTTTTTAGCCAATCGAGTTAACNTGTCCAGGCTAGCGGAGCTTCCAATCCGCTAAAAGCTCCATACCGGAAATTGGAGTATTGATGAACGAATCTAGAACTTGAGGAAATTGCCAAAATGACTAATGAAGTGTCCTGAGGCTTTAACGGAGGTAAAAGGGAAAGGTAAATAATGGGAAAGATTCCCTGAAAAAGTAAGTAGGAATAAATTCATTCTGGTAATTTTATTGAAGGGAAACGGGACTCTACATGGCTTAAATTCCTTAAGGGAACCTTCAGTTAAATCGCGTTACACTACACTTTTATATTTCATGGGATTTTGATCTTAATTTCTCTCATAGTTGAAAAAAGCCGGCTGGAAACGAAAAATTGGCGCGTATAATAATTTTCACAACTGCAGCAGTACAATGACAATATTAACTAAGTAATTAAATCACTTACTTATTGGCTGAATACGATAATCTAACCTCAAGTGCCTCAAGTAAGGTACGCCGGGGTTTCGTGCGGAAATACAATATTTTATTATAACATCAGCAGTACGAATGTGCCAGTTCAGAAATAGCCGACAAAGCGGCCCAAATTACTGCCATTATGAGCCGAACCCGCTGCATCGGGTGGGGCTCCTGAAAAATTGCTATGCGGCAGAGAAATGCAATGCCAATTGCATTTGCGAAATAGAGGTTCAAGATTTCCGTAGCGAGATAATAAAACAGATCCACCGGTGAAGCCTCGTCGGTAGATCCTCGTGGAATGAAGGATAAATGCAGAAGAATATATCAGTTATCTCACTAGGCTGAGATGGTGAATGGTAAATACAAGTCAGCTACGTAGCAGCTACAGTGCGTCGTCTCCTTAATGATCTGAAAAAAAAACTGTTTCGCGCCATTTGCTATGGATTTTCATAATTTTGGATGCGTTATCTACTAAAAATAATAGAATAGAACTAAGGATAAAAATACCCTAGCAATAGGTATGTAGAGCCGAGCCTACTAAAGGCTAACATAGACCTACTTTTACTATTCTATGCTGTAAGAACCTGTTACGCATAAACGTTTGTCTTACAAATAAACATTTCATAGGTGAGCTGTGGAAACAGTAATATGGCAATCGCAACAAAATCGCCAATGCTTCTCATGCACCCAGCCTGTCTAGGCGATGTTCTGTGCATCCTTGAACTTCAGCAGTAAATCAAAGTGCAGTAAGTGCTGCGAGCGGCGATGATTACGCCAATTACTGGCGCGCGCCCGAGGTAATCACGACGAGAGCCGTCTGATGCGCCGCTGGCGCAAGTTGTAGGAGTAGCGGATCTACTGCGGCCACTGAAACGTTCTATTTTCGAATCTCAATCAAATATTTTCAACCGACTTCAAAAAAGGAGGAGGTTCTCAATTCGACCCGTATGTTTTTTTTTCTATGTTTGTTACGCGATAACTCCGCCAATTATGAACCGATTTGAACAAATCTTTTTTCGGCGTATAGGTAATACCTCAAGGGTGGTCCCATTTAAATTTAATAATAGAAAAAACAACCCCCAAGGGTGGAAAATCGGGGATGAACTTTTTTATACGCAATATCTCCGCCGATTATAAATCAATTTGGAACGTTTATTTTTTTGTTGAATAGGTATTATCAAAAGGGTGGTTTCATCCGAATTTGAAGAAAATATTTCACCCCCAAGGGTGGAAAATTGGGGATGAACTTTTTTATATGCAATATTTTTAATTTTTGTGTTCACGCATTTGAAGTCGGTTTTATTTTTTTTTTAAAGTTAATTATTTAATATTAATTTATTTTTAAATGATCATTTTCATTGAAATCTTGCCAGTGACTTGATTTTCAGTTTTTTTTTTCTTTTTTATGGCTCTCGCGGATTATTCATTTATCCTTGTTGAGTGGCTAGTGATATGGAGCCTTTTTCTTGATTATTAATTAACTATTCTTCAGTGAATTTTTTGTGCTATTAGTTTTTTTCTGCTATCGAGCTCATGTTTAACTATCTCCCCAGTAATAGCTAATCTTTCTTTTTCTATGCCTACATGTTAGAACAGATATTGTCGAAGCTTAATAGTTTAATAAACAATTTTTTATTTATTTATTTTAAAAAAGCCTACTTACATTAAATTAATGATGTACGAAATTAGTGATTTTATTGTTATTTATGAGGAATTTATCTAGTGTCCCATCGCGAAATATTAATAATTAATTAACGGCTACTTGCGTTCTACGAATAATTAGATCAAAAAAGCTTTCAAAATCATGTTGTACAACGGTTTTCAAGCTAAGTTTAAAATAGCAAATCACATAATCTTTTGTTTGGAAAGATTGCTACCTATCCATAATAAGACCACTTAACTAAATTGTACCAGCTTAACTGTTTTTTTTTCTTTATAATCAAAAGACAAAACTGTGATTTTTTTTTTGTTCTTTTGAGTGTTTCTTTTTATTTTACTTTAGGCAGGTATTAGCACCTCATCTACTTTTATTAAATGTAAATCTTGTTCAGAATTATTAATATCTGTCTATTCAGCCTTTAGTAGCTAGCATCTCGTAAATTGTACCTACCACACGCCCTTCTTGAATACTTATCAGCACGAAACTGAACCGGCCGCTTGAAAATGAAAACGTAAGTCGATTGAACCAAGGCGGGGGCGGGACGAGCTCTCTTTGGCTTTTAATTACAAATCAACAGTTGCATCAATAGGATTAATAGTAGAAATAACACATATTTGGGACACAAGCACTTATCGACACATATTTCTATTCATCAATAGTTTTCCTAGTAGCCAGAAGAGAAGCTTTTGAATAGGTAAAAAAATGAGATAGATTGCTTATTGTTGTTGTATGGAAATTAAATTGATAATGATAAAACGTTGTCATCATTATCGTCCGAATTCTAAATCATAAATAACGTTTAACACATATAAATCCTGTTCTTATCGCCCCTCCACGTTTTATTATCGCGAAAGGAAATTACACCGACATCAACGAGTCCAATCTAGAACTTTACATTGCATATTCTAGGAAATTCATTATTGCGATTGAAGATACCTACAATGTATTTGTTTCTTGGACTTTTCATTTAAGGTGATTTAAAAAATATAACTATTTATTAAGAAAATCTATGACATTCATCCTAGACTAGGGGTTCGTTGCATAGCAGATGTAACGGCCGCACGCGGATGCCTCCTTGGTCGCGCGACACTGGCCACCAAGAAACTGCATTATTTTTTCTCGACGACCAATATCGATCTTGTTTTGTTTTATTTTCCCTCACGACTCGATTTTCTCACGTAGTCGTGGAATTACGACTCGAATTTGTAATTAAAATATTCACGTTTTTAGCCAATCGAGTTTTAAGAAATCGAGAACAAAAGAATAATTACGCATACCCTAATGTAAAAATTGTGAAATACAAGGTGCGACACTTCAATAGTAGTGATGTTATAACACATTTTAAAATACGTTGCAATTTTTAACATTGTGTCGTTCTGTTTCAGACAACAGGCATGACCCCGCTGATGTTCGCGGTGAAGGACAACCGGACCTCCTTCGTGGAGCGGCTCATCGAGCTGGGGTCAGACGTCGGCGCCAGGAACAATGTAAGCATTCAAGATAACTATCAAAAACCTGATATGGCTAACTCTGCCAAATCATACATTGCTACCTATCCTCTTAGGCTGGATTGCACCATCTTACTTTNATGTGATTCTCTTTCCGTGTTAATATGCAGTCTATGGAACATATTTGTAACAAAGATATAATCCACGTGAACTGTGACCAGTGCTAGTGGTTGCTTCTTCATTTGAAATATTATTTGTCCTTGATTGGTGCAGAGCCACGGTCCAACATGAGTGACAACATACACTGCTGTTATCAATCTAAAAAAAAGTTTTATTAGGATTATGGTAATCTACGGTAAAGGTAGTTGATCAAACACATTGTAAAAGGTATTCAACAAGTCCACACGCTCATTCAATAACTTACCAGCTGAGGAGTCATCCACTGACATTATAACCAACTGAACTTGAATAAGCTCTAGGCTATGTCGCCTCCTCTGCATCATGTCAGCTATACAATTGATACAAATACATATCATAGGTTCCTCATGAGATTGAGGAATTGCTGGTTGCATTAATTATCCTAAAATCGGGCTGGGGTTAACATTGGGGCTCGGGTCGGAGTCCATACGTAAGCCGTGGTCGGCGTTTAGGCAAGGTTCGATGTCCGAAAGTGAGCCATTGGTCATTGATTGAGTGAGATTCGTAGTTCGAGAGTATGCCAGGGTCATCGGAAAGGGAAGCATCGAGGACCATGCTCAAAAAAAAAAAGTCGTCAAAAGGGAAACTTATACAACACTCTTCTGCTTTTATTTTGGCAAAGACTTGGTTTTGAGAACTAAACAACACTCACGATAAAAATACAAAACAAAGCGAATGACAGATAAACAGCTGTGACAATATTTTCAGTGTTGCCATGCTAATAATGTGGTGATGAATAAAAATAATCGATATAAAAATCAATTGTATTTTTTGATCACTAGAAACAGAGAGCAGAAATAACAGGAGTAGCAGCGCGCGTTTATTTCCATACAAAAAAATTTCGCCATTTCCTGANACGTATTTAAAAAATACTAATTGTCATAGTCGAAAAACAATCGATATGAATCGATTCTTACCGATAAGATTCATTTTGGCAACACTGAATTGAGTGTTAAAGACAGGAAGTTGTAATTATCACATAAAGTATTATTTAAATTGGATTTTTATAAAGGCAAATTGATACAAAGTTACATTAAGTGAATACTTTAAAAATTAATTAAACATTTTTGGCAAATTCATATTTTCATTACCAGCTTGTCCACGCCAGGCCAGAAATGAACATTGTCCTTTAGGTGGTGCAACTCAGCCGTAGTCTTTTATCTGCTATCCACAGAGACGTAGCTTCATAGAAACCAAGCGTATAAGACCTATCCTTAACTACGCCTCATGGACAGGCCTCAATCTCACATCACTATCTCAAACAAAATGCTGAGCGATAGCTTAACGAGAAAAGATGTCAGAACCCTGTAAATAATCTGCTGTATGGTGCCCCGTAACACAAGCTCTGCTTAGTTTGGGGCTAGAAACGTACCTAGTGTAGTGTAAACATGTCCCAAGATGTAAGTGAAATCTAGACAGGACCATGAAAATAGTGTTTTAACTGAAGCCAAATGTATTTTAAAGTCAGGATGGTCAAGTGCGAGTAAAAGCTAAGGCATAACCAACCATGTAGGTACGGGTGTGTTTGTGTTACCTATGTAAGTAACACTTTTGTAACATTTACTACAAACCCGTAATTTGTAACACCAAACTCAATAATGAGTTTGCGACCCATCGAGCAATTTTTCACATAGCTGAGCAGCGTGTAATTTGTGTAACGACTTGCGTCGCCTAAGGTTCGAAACTTAGCTCAAGCAAAGTGGAGCGAAAGCGTAACTTCCACTAGGCGGTGCGACCTATTGTAAAGCTTCGGTACAATGAAAGCTACTTTAATCTGTCTTAATTAGACATTAAAAAAAACTTGTTGATATTGCCTCGAAACAGGATGTGCAGTTGCAAGTTGTGTGCAGACTGCAATCTATGCAAACACTATGGAAAAGTACATCATCTTGATCTGCAACCGTCATGATGATACTAAAAGTTTAACTTTGTGACCAAAAAAGGGACGTGAACTGAAAAAATTCATGAAAGAATAACGAAACGACGAATTAAACTACCTAACACTTTATTTACAAACCAAAACAAACGAAGTAACAAAAGCTCAACTATTCCAAGTACGCTATGCTTAGCTTGGCGCGCAGTGTAGCCCGCGCTTAGCCTCTGACTTATTGCTTGGGCACGTGCCAGATGCGCGATAAGCAGCGATTTATGCCGGCACATTATAGGTCACCATCGCAGCCCTACTGGGCAAGTGCAGTAATGACCGTCACAGCACAAACATCTAGACAACGAGGACGCAGGTTCAAGGCGCCACTGGTCATCAACCCGCTGGATTATGATGAAGATACAGACGTTCAAAATGAACGCGAGATAAATCAAAAAAATTGGTTACACCGTCATAATTGCACCTTTTGTCGTCTAAAACACTCCTGCTCCCATTCGTGTAGGCAGACAGGACTTTCTTCACCGCAAATAAATGATGGAAAAAGCCAACAAAACGGTGATTTACATGGATATTCTTATAAATCACTACAATCTCTACTCAAGTAATACACTTGAGTCATTATTTCCTGAATACTCTTTCCATTATGTAAAGGAATGACGAATTTGCTACACTGGTCATTCACATTTGACTTTTCAAACTCCAGTCATACTTTCTTACCTCCTGAAAAGCCCCTGAAAATCTTCTGAGTCACTAAATGAAGTTGAATCATCAGCACAGTCACAAAGTATCACTTGAGTAACGCCATACACGCAACCGCCGAATTACAAAGTCGAGAGCTCTTACAATAAGTTTAATTGCATTTTTATTGTTACCCATGTTGAGCGTAGTCACGAATTTTCTTCAATGTAGTGGCCTGATTCCGAATTAATTAGAACACCTTAATGAAATCAGTGCATAAATGACGCAAAATGTAGAGTCCACATAATAGAATACAGTCATATGAATTAGAAATATTGTACGTTCCTATGCAACAATATGACAAATTGCATTTCATGTTAGTTTAAAGATATGACTACTGTTTTAAATCATATTTGCACAAGTGCATAATATTCATATCTAACTACCAACTGCAATTTTCTGTATGACGTACATTTCTTGATTAATGAAAATCGAGGGCATCCTTGTCTAATTCGTATCCGAAGTTTATTGGTTTTAACTTTAGAAACAAAGTGGTTAGTCGCAACTTGCTTCGACCCCAATACCTGAGCATTGCAGTGTTTGCTGTCTTGGGGAAACCTTGCTGTCTTCTCTGCAGGAGAGGTTCAGCCAATGGCTCCCCCGCTCAGGCGTTGGAAGTCTATCCCAGTGAGTTACGAGATTATAAAAGTGCTGTATTAACTGTCAAAGCATTTTGCATAAACAATAACACGTGTGATGTACAAAACACTTCCTACTCTAGACTTCAAAGTGTCCCAAAATAGAGTTAATTGAAGTGCGGTTGCTATTGGAAGTTAATGACACAGCGCTCATTACTCTCCTGTATGTGAGGCTTTGCGAAATAACAAATCAAATATAGGTAAGAGCCAGACCTATATCAGCTGTAGACAGTGAAAGCGGTAATGGAAAGTAAACTAGACAATATTGGTCTCGAGTACAGACCACGTCCATTATTGTGCTGCCGCGTCATCGTCTGCTTAATAAATGGACATTCCATTCAATATCATGGCTACTGAGAGCTTTTGAATGGGGCCACTATAAACCTTTGTGATCAAGGAAGTAAACTTATGTTTACNTATGTGATGTGAACTTATAAGGCTGTCGTAATTATCATAATCGGAAATGAGTTAAACGCCGCTTGATTGACATTTCTAATTGTGCCCCCTGTTGCTATAGGCTCTACTGCAAGTATAATTATCGCATCGTGTCTCGAAGAAAGTGGACGCACGCGATGTTGACCGTTGCGAACTATGCATTTAAAGCAGGCTCGGCAAATGTTTTCAGAGGCCTGAATGCGGAGCAACACTGTTTTAATTAAGATTTTAATGACCTGAAACAATTNCCATTGTACAACTTTCTAACGAAGTAAAAGCTTCGTTTGTTGTGGAAGGTGTACCTAGGTCGAATGTTCCTGTCATAAAATTGTCTAAATCCTTTTAGCCTTAACTTTTAGTAGGCCGATAGTTATTTTGTATAAAGAATCGGCCGATACTAAATCGGTGTAATGTGCGCACTTCCATACATACCCATACTGATTAACTCCCCAACTAAACTATCGGTGGTCTGCGCCTAGGCTTAGAAAGCCATGAAAAACTGTTTTGACGTGTTCCTTTGTCCCCAGGACAACTACAACGTGCTGCACATATCGGCGATGTACGCGAGGGAGGACATCGTCAAGCTGCTGCTCTCCAAGAGAGGGGTGGACCCTTTTGCCACTGGAGGGGTAAGAACTGATCATCAAGAATCATGATGTCAAAACCACATATTACAAATGAAAGTCAAGAGAATATTGATAGAAAATTGTTCAACTGGGTAAATTTTTACGAAACTTAATTACCATGTCTAAGCTTTAAAAAAACGTAATTTTTCAATAATGATGGTGATGATACACCAAGAGAAAGAAGTAGGACTTACTTAACTAGTTGACCAATTTTTGTGTGTCAAAATGTAGGTAAATCGAATACATAAAAATGTAAAAACTCTACCGAAATAGTTACATCCCTTTGATTTAGATAGTCATCTACCTCGTTTGTAGTCCCTAAGATGGGGACGCATGTCATATCGCGCACGCACGGCGCCACACTCGTATTTCTTTCCCCAGCGCACGTCAACTTCAGTCTAGATAAGGTACAAACTACCTCTACAATGTTAGCCTTGAAAACTGAGCACTAACATAGTACATACTTGTATTTTGGATTAGATCTATTTGGGGAGTAATCATACATCTTTTACGAGATTTTGTAATTTTAATATGTTTGGCTCTAAGGTTGACTGAAGGAAAATGTCGAAAGAAATGGCATTAAGTCCGCCTTGTCACTGTTCTATGTGCATATAAGTTTAAAATAAATAAATAAAATGTACAGTGTGCGATTTAAGAAAACACAAAACTTACTTGACTTAAATCAGCCACGTCCAGTCCAGATGCCTGTGTGTGTTTGTATTGTGAAGGCTTGAAGGCAAGAATCATTTTACTTCATCTTCCAATTTCTTTGCCAGACTCTTAATTGACGTACCTTTAACAAAAAATATTATTAGAACCAAAATTAAGAGATCATAAGAGATGCGAAAAAAATAAACAATTAAAAATGAATAAATAAATAAATAAATGTTATTTAAAATACGCCGCAACACCATGAACTTTTATTTGGCTCACCACGGTGTGATATATGAAATAAAATCTAAATTACAATGAAAAGGACAAATTATTTTAACTCATCGGCTACAATATATAATTATCTGTGACGTAAAACTAGAGCCTTCTTTAGAAAGTTCAATACCTTTTTGTCTATTTAAAGCTTTAGCCTATTTTAGTCCTGCCGAGGCATTACTTAGCTTATGCATGAGACAGCTCATGTAGCCTTGTCTAATGCAAGCTAGGGTTTATCATCTCACCCGATGCCTTGCTCCACTTATTGGAATTGATTTTTAAAACAATTTTCACAGAGCTACCATTTCAGTGCAGGATCTCTAAGAATGAGGTTCTCGTTCTAAAATAGAAATAATTTTTTTTTGTTCTTTTGAGTGCAATAGCCATGGGTCCTCCATTGAGGATGATTAAAAATGATGCTGTGAGTGTTTAAAATAAATTGAACAATTTAAAAAAGGAATACATTTTAATTAAATTCAAACAAAATACAAAAATAAATTAATGACAGTTTAATTTTAACTCTGAACGTACGGTAACGTGTTAAATGTTCATATTTTAACCCAAAATATGTGACAGAATATTAAATTATTTTATTTGATCGATTTTTTTTAGTTTTGAAGCCTTTTTGGTATCATTAAAAAATTACAAGACCTACCTATAGCCATCTAGCATCTACTCGTAATTGTAACTTAAAAGCTTAACCGCTGACTAACTACTCCTATCATCCCTTTATTTTTTTTAGTGTAAAATAAATAAACTTTTTTGTGTGAAAATGATGAATGATGTGAAAAATACTGTGGTCGTCTGTTATTGGGAATAAATACTTGAAGATTATGTAGTGAGGGGTGTAATTATTACCTATTGTTATTTAATTACTAAGTATAAATAACTTAGTTCTGAGGGCTTAGTGCGAGTTTGCATCAAACGTCCTCACTAGTGAGCGGTAAAAAAATATATGAAAATTTTAGTTCTTGAAAGTTTCCGCTAGGGGCGTTGTACATTTTGTACAATCCGTTATACATGTAATTTTTTTACGCGCTCACTAGTGACGACGTTTGTTGTAAACTCACACTAAGCCCTGTAGCTGTGTAAAATACGCGAATAAGGTGCTAATGAACAATATTTGTGTGTAGAGCCGACAACAGACGGCAGTGCACCTGGTGGCCAGCAGGCAGACCGGCACCGCCACCAGTATCCTGCGCGCGCTGCTCACGGCAGCCGGCAAGGACATCCGCCTCAGGATCGACGGGGTAATGAGTTTGGCTTTTGTGAATAGGTCATCAAAATAGTTGTAGCCCGACGGATTAGCAAGCTGAAATGGCAATGGACAGGGCACATAGTACGCAGAACTGACGGCTGATGGGGCAGCAAGGTTCTGGAGTGGAGGCCGCGTACCGGAAAACGCAGCGTGGGACGTCCGCCCACAAGGTGGACCGATGACATCATAAAGGTAGCAGGAAGGCGCCGAAAGACCAACCAGGCAACATGGAAAGCATTAGGGGAGGCCTATGTTCAGCAGTGGACGTCCTATGGCTGAGATGATGATGATGATGATGATGATGNTGATGATGATGTGTAGACGGGTGGCGGCTTAAGACTTTAGTGATAAAGTAGTTAAGAGGAGATTAATGACATAGACGCCAGTTTCCTTTGAAACGCAGCTCATAGAGAAAAATCTACATAATCACTTTACTGTCTAAAGGAACCTGGACACTTAATCCAATGCTGAAAACGATGATTCTGTCGGGTCGTGCTTGGTCTCGCTTGGTCGTTGTAGTAATGCGACTATGTCTGTAACTCGCATCCTTGACGCTACTCATTGATGAGTAACTACATTCCTAAAGGTAAAGGTTGAGTACCAATTTGGACGATGTTTTCAATTCTTACGCATGCAATAAACTGAAAACGTATCCTGTTTAGAATTGTAAAATCGACCGCGCAACGGAGGCATTCGATCGTCGCGTGAACCATTAAATTTTGAACTTTATGACAGCGATACTGGAATATAGCAGGTAGGTAGGTGGACGTGAATAGACAGAGATGCAGCGTGAGCTGCGATCGCGTGCAGGCCGCGTCCCTGGCACCGCCACCCGCCATCAGGAACACCCCCGAAAACGCCGCGCCACCTGTAAACAAACCCCACCCCCGACACCACACTCGACAATCACACTCGCGAACTGTCCCAACTTTACAATAGCCCCACTCATTAGGTATATGACGCAATTTCACGCACTGGCGTAAGTCGCAGACAACAATGAATTCCCACACTTAGGTGAAGCCCACACGCCAGCCTGCCGGCGAAAGCTCCCGACATTCCTCCACCAGGCCACCACCCCAGCGAATAGAAACTGGCTAATTATCCGCCGAGCTTTACCCGCGAAGTAAACGTCACAACGCGAATTTACAATGCAAATCACTGGCGGAATATTAGTTATAACGTCAGCGCTCAAATTCAAAATTAGTAATTTTAATACAATAAGTCTCAGTCGCTCCTTCGTCACGAGTAGAGCTAGGCAGTTTTGCAATGTCCGTCTTTGTCTTTGTGTTTAAGTGACTCCAATGGAGGACCAAGTACGTATTCCGTTAAAGGCGTTGCTTTCGAATTTGCAGACTGAAATTCTTTCAAATTTAAACGAATTGAATTCGGTGTGAAGCACGTTATGGCATCGATTTTGCATTCTGTCGAATGGCAAACGTAAATTGCGATGCACATAAGTCGGCGGGCGTCTGTGGTGTCACAGTTCGGAAGCTATCGTGCCGGGCGCGCCGCAGCTAGCGTGAGTCCCGTGCAGACTGCATCGTATGGAGCGCGCTGCGGGCTGAGGACCGGCGATGTCTGACAGCGGGCGGGACGCGCCTCGCAGCGCCAACCTGAGCTTCCGCTCGGGCGTCCGCAGCCCGCCCGCCAGCGGCCAGTCCAAGGACCTGCAGAAGCTCGAGCTCAGCTTCCTCGAGCTCAACAAGGAGCGGGCGAAACAGAAGGAATGGAAAAGGCTAATTCGCGACATGGTGTTGCAGAGGGGGAAGATCCCGCTGCTGCTGGCGGTGGAGGCGGGCAACCAGAGCATGGTGCGCGAGCTCCTCAGCGCGCAGACCGCCGAGCAGCTCAAGGTAACCGCAACACAGTGCTCGCCACTGAACCTCTGCCATTCTATTAATGCTCTAAATCTAAATATTTTGACACTCAAGACACTCATGCTGTTTCGTGCGATTCTATCAAGCTTGAATCATCTTTTTATAACCACTGAAATGATTAATTTAATATGATATTGTACAGTGTTTACATTTTAAAATGTAGTAAGATATAATGAACTAAAACATTATTGCGACCAAAATGGTCCACAAAAGAAATCATAATATGTATAACTATTCGTTGATCATCTTTGCAAAAGTATTTGTACATTAGTACCTATGTCATGCGACTGATTTAAGTATAAATAAATGTAAGTTTTATTCATTTATTATTATCTTTATCATCAAATAGAATTGCAAGACTTTTGCATGTTTGTCTAAGGCTAGCAAACTCATACTTTCCATTTTATTTATATTTTAGCAATGTGGGATTCATTGCTACTTTGTGAGTAGAATTTTGTACCGTTTGCGTCATGTTTGCACGATTTATTGCACCTTGTCCATTGATTTCCATCATTTCTCTCTTTTTCTTAACTTTGGAGTGCTAGTTTGGTAGCTAGCCTCACGCTGGTGAGATAACGCGTGTTGTCATGTCAGGCGTCGACTCCGGCCGGAGACACGGCCCTGCACTTGGCGGCGAGGCGCCGTGACGTGGACATGGCGCGTATCCTGGTGGACTACGGAGCCGCGGTGGACGCCGTCAACGGCGCCGGCCAGACGGCGCTGCACATCGCCGCCGCGGAGGGAGACGAGCCGCTCGTCAAGTACTTCTATGGCGTGCGCGCGAACGCGGCGATAGCTGACAATGAAGGTACGAACTGTTTCTTTTTATTTCTAACTAGCTTTCCGCCCGCGGTTCCGCCCGCGTGGAATTTTGTCTGTCACAGAAAAACAATATCGCGTGCGTATTTGCTCACCGTTTAGACCTACCCTGGACTACGACAAACATTATCAAAACCAAAATCAGCTCAATCGGCCCAGCCGTTCTCGAGTTTTAATCAGACTAACGAACATCAATTCATTTTTATTTATATAGATTTATACTTCTTTCCTATGTAGGTATGTGTATTTCAGCCAAAGGACGTCTACTACCGGAGAATGTCCTCTCCCAAGGATTTCCACTACGATCTGTCCTGCACTAAAATGCTTGCAGCGCAACCATCACAGACCGTTGGTCCTCCATGTGGTAGGCCTGATTAAATTAAAAGCAATCGGCTGAGCTTATAACAACTGTCTACAGCATTTTTGCGCACGGGTTATGCATAGCTTATTTTTATGGCTTTATGACCTAGAATTAAGAATAACAACAAAAAATTGTTCTGAATTTGCTTTTATGTATAAAAATTCATATCAATGAATGTATGAAACATGAACATAGAGATCATTCAATTTGTTGCCAAATATATTTTTTTCTTTCTTTCTTTCATTCTTTCTAATTATTAAAACATACCAAACATCCATTTAAGATTCATTCTTACAAGAGAAAATTTAAAATAGAGTCAAAATATTTATTAAAAATGAAAAGATCTAATTTCCTGTCACGTTCCATAGAAGATTTTTCGCATAAAAATCTAACCCTATCATGCTTTCAGTATACTGGCCTTGGTAACGTCGTCTCTCAAATCTCACTATATTTTGATGAAAGCGTGCCCCTTGTTCTTGCGAATAAGCCCCCATAATTATTTATAAATATATCCTAATGAGAATGGGACGTGCATCTTTAGAGACATTCTACTATGAAGAAATCGCTATAACTTCTTAAAAAGCAAATATTTTCGATTTGTAGTCGCACTTTTTTATATAAATTTGCTTATTTATTCAGAATATAATAAGTAAAATCCATGCGCAAAAACAAATTTTTTTTTGTTGACCGGTGTAATCAACTAACTTTCTTCTATCAACCTCTGCAGACCGAACCCCGATGCACTTGGCGGCGGAGAACGGCCACGCGGCGGTCATCGAGCTGCTGGCCGACAAGTTCAAGGCGTCCATCTTCGAGCGCACCAAGGACGGCAGCACGCTCATGCACATCGCCTCGCTCAATGGCCACGCCGACTGCGCCATGATGCTCTTCAAGAAGGGCGTCTACCTCCACATGCCAAACAAGGTAGAGATACATCCAACCTTCACTTTGGCCAAACGGTATAAGGGATTGAGACAGATTTAAATATCCGGCCATCACGTCATACCAAAAGTACAAAGCAGTGGACACGACGCAACCATGGCTAGACCGACTTAGGGCTTATATCGAAGAGGGCTCAGTTGCGCATAACGCATTACCTAACTACATACTTGATGTCGAAACTTTCACGACGTCATCGAAAAATTGATTCCTCGTTACTTTGTTATTAACCTCAAAATTAGACTAACGCAAACGTAACATATTCTGCCAAAATGAGGCCTTATTTCCGCGAGCACACGAGTGGAGTCACGCGTAGGGCTAAGTTCGGACCAAAGCAAGGGTGTCAAGGTTACATGAGCAGATTTCCTACATGTGTAGACGCGGGCTACTTCGTCCTTCTGCCGCAAAGGGCGAGCTCCCGAGACCTTGAAACTGGGAAATGAAATCATGTTTTTATGACAACCTAATGTAAAGTTATTACTTCGAATTATTTTACCACATTGCCGTTGGGAAACGTTCCGAATAAATTATGATAAATGCTGCCCTATATAAATTGTTGTATTAATGTTCCTGATTCGTTTTGTTTTACGACTTATATCAATGTGGTTTTATTGACTTATAAAACACGCCAATCATTAGTCTCAATCTTTCTAAAAATAGCCACAAATTTGGAGTTCGTTACAGTTCAATTACACAGTTTTAGAACTAGAATAATGTGCTAATTCTTAACTAAAAATTATTATAATGTGATCTCATCTCTACGATTATGTAAAGGCAGACTTGTGTAGGGACAAACACCTACTAGTATGTTTGTCGCAATTAAAGTTTTAAGCATGATTGCTTTATGTTTAAAATGAAAGATAGAAATACAAATTGACCTAATTTATGTACATGAAACTATGACAGAATTTATACGTCTGCATTTTATATTTTAGGTAAGGTTTTTTTAACTGTATGCGGCAGTAGGCCTTGCAGTTAACTTACAATAAAGTATATTTATTTCGCTGAGGCGCAACATTGCCGCGCGGGCAGCAGACGGACATAAATCCGAATGCTTATCGGAATGGTACGAAACGTTGCGAATAAATTAAACTTTTCGCTTCTTTTTAAAACCCACCCCATTATACAAACACAAAAGATTGTTTGCACCTTTTTCATGCCATCGTGAAAAGCTTTGTGTTTAAAGCAAACAAGTTGGGCAGTTAAGAATTGCAAAGGTTAAAAAGCAATGCCAAAATTCAACACTCCTTGACCTAACTGCCTACATTTATTTAAGTAACTGCGCCTAACAGCGCTAATCTAGAATATTTCTTTGTGTTAAATTAAATATGCATTTTTCTAGTAAGTAGTTTATCTGTTTTAGAAAAGCATTCATGTCCACTCTCATATCTTTCATGGTGACTTTTTATTACTAGACTTGCTTCTGAATCATTTCGAAACACTTCTTTCACCACATTATTAGGATTCCCCTTTCAAACGCTGTTTCACCCCCTTCAAGTTTTGATAGAAACAAAAGATAAAATCAATGCCTTCCCTAGGGTCCAATCTATCTCTACCTATATCTTTGATCAAATAAAAGCTCTGTACCAAAATTGGTCATCAAAAAGAACTGTTCAGGCGTGAAACGGCAATGAAAAGTATTTGGAAAATCTTTTGTTACTTGTTTAATCATCTGTTTTGTGAATATAAACTGAATAAGTCACATATTTTTTTCAGGATGGGGCGAGGAGTATCCATACAGCAGCGCGGTACGGTCACGTGGGCATCATCAACACTCTCCTGCAGAAGGGGGAGAGCGTCGACGTCACCACCAACGTAAGACGCCATAACGATTTACCATTCGATAGAACTAAAAGTCAACCAACTGGATATTATTTTTTATTGTGTGTAAAAGTGGATATTTATTTCCCCTCTTTATTTATTACGCGATAAACACTTTTGATTCCACTGCTTAAAGAGGGTGGTATAGGAAAGGCATCAGTAATAATAATTAAAGATAACATCAAGATTGTCTACTCGACCTCGACACAAACCTCGAACCACGAAACCTTTTCCATATGAATTATGTTAATAGATTTGCATCGTTTGTTTTATTTTTGAGATTATGTACGATGGAAGTACATCTCTGAAGAAAATATTAACAAATCACAACCTTCGCCCCTTAGGCTTGCGTGAGCTTATTGACGCCAGCCAGTGTCAATTTAAACCAAGTCACGCTATTGTCCTAATAAAATCCGGACATGCTTATTACCCTATTGCGTTAGAAGGAAGGTTATGCTTTTCATGTGGAATTCGGCTGAATTCGAGTGTTGTTTCCAGGACAACTACACGGCGCTGCACATAGCGGTAGAGTCGTGCAAGCCGGCCGTGGTGGAGACCCTGCTGGGATATGGGGCTGACGTGCACATTAGAGGAGGCAAGCAGCGCGAGACACCTCTACACATCGCTGCCAGGATACCAGACGGTACTAAACTAACTAAACCAGACGGTGCTTGCTCATTATTAAGCTCAAAGCTTGTGACCATCAATCTTAGTGACTAGGAAAAGCAGGAGCAAAATGATATGCAGCAGCAATTCCTGAATCGAAGAAGTGTTAAAAACAAACAATTATTTTTGATTTTGTAGAGTTTAGAGTGTTTTATTAGATCGGGTCTAATGCTGAATTTACTTTTCCTAATGTGGACCATTTGGCTGACACGAATGAATGTGGACCTCATCAACTATAAAATACAGCTTTGAGGCTGCGATACCCAAACAACGCTGGTTCGGAGTTCAAACCGGTTCGAACTCCGAACCAGCGAACCCCACCGCCGTTCGACGTCTTATTTAACGCTTAACCAAGCTAAAAAAATCATTGGTTTTCAACGGTATCTGCACAGCATAAAGTCAAATTGACGCGTGCTTTATTGAACCAAAGCCTCGTTAAGGATTAACTTAGTAAGAGTAGCTAACGGGACTAATATTATTAAAAAAAAAATTGCAGGTGACAAATGCGCGCTAATGCTGCTGAAGTCGGGCGCGGGCCCCAACAAGGCGACGGAAGACGGCATGACGCCGGTGCACGTGGCCGCCAAGTTCGGCAACCTGGCCACGCTGCTGCTGCTGCTCGAGGACGGCGGCGACCCGCTTAAGAAGACCAAGGTTTGCTCATTGGTTCATGTGGAACACTTTTTAGTGTAACCTTCACCCACTACGACACAGGATTACTCAATCTTCGATGGCTGGGTTTCATTGGAGGCAAGTCAAGCAGATCCTGGCTATACAGGAGTTGCAGTCGTGGGAAAGTGTGGTGGGATAAGTCCCGTAACCTTCAACCACAGCAACTACAAAATATAATTCTGATAACCTATACCAGGGGTGGCCAACCAATCGATCGCGACTATTAGTCCAGTCGATCGTGGCAAGACAAAAAATACTACATGATTGTGTACTAAACTATGCTGTTTCATTTAAGATTTCAAGAAGTATGTAGTAAACAGTAGATCTTATGTTTAATCAAGTTGGCCACCCCTGACCTATACCTACACTTATGATACTATAATATCGTAAGCGATATCCATGGATGCCGAGATGTTAAACGAAAGAAAGTTGTTGTGTTTGTTTAATCTGTTCAATATTTCAGACTGGCGAAACTCCACTACAAATGGCATGCCGGAGCTGTAAGCCCGACGTCGTGCGGCATCTAATAGAGTTCGTCAAAGACCACAAGGGCGACAGCGTCGCCACGTCCTACATCGACGCCGTCGACGAAGACGGTGCCAGCGCCTTGCACTACGGCTGCAAAATCACAAAAGAAGAAGTCAAAACGGCCTCAGCAGATCGCGAAGTTGTCAAGTGCCTCATAGAAAACGGAGCTGATGTAACGATCGTAACGAAGCACAACCTGGAAACCGCGTTTCACGTCTGCGCCGTCGCTGGCAACAACGACGTCATGAGCGAGATGATCGCTCACATCTCTTCGGCGGACGTCGGGAGAGCCCTCAATAAACAGAACAACATCGGCTGGACACCGCTGCTTATAGCCTGCCACAGAGGACACATGGAACTCGTCAGCACCTTATTGACAAACCACGCCAGGGTAGACGTCTTTGATGTTGAGGGCAGATCCGCTCTCCATCTAGCGGCAGAGCATGGATACTTACAAGTTTGCGACGCTTTATTAACTAACAAAGCATTTATTAATTCTAAAGCGCGAAACGGAAGGACAGCACTGCATTTAGCAGCGATGAACGGCTACACGCATTTAGTGAAGTTTCTTATTAGGGACCACAACGCAATGATCGATGTTCTGACCTTAAAGAAGCAGACGCCCTTGCATTTAGCAGCAGCCAGTGGCCAAATTGAAGTGTGCAAGCTTTTGCTAGAACTCGGGGCGAACATTGACGCAACGGACGAGCTAGGTCAAAAGCCGATCCATGCGGCGGCTCAGAACAATTTTTCTGAAGTTGTACAACTATTTTTACAGCAGCATCCAAATCTTGTGATGGCGACAACAAAGGACGGAAACACGTGTGCGCATATAGCGGCTATTCAGGGTTCAGTGAAAGTGATTGAAGAGCTGATGAAGTTCGATCGGACTGGTGTGATCTCCGCGCGGAATAAGTTAAATGACTCCACTCCTTTGCAATTGGCCGCCGAGGGCGGTCACGCTGACGTAGTGAAAGTGTTGGTCAGGGCTGGCGCTTCGTGTACGGACGAAAATAAGGCTGGGCTGACGGCAGTCCATTTGGCAGCCGAACATGGACATACCAATGTGTTAGATGTTATGCGTTCCACAAACACACTGAGGATATCCAGTAAAAAGTTGGGTTTAACTCCACTTCACATAGCAGCTTACTATGGACAAGCAGGTACAACGCAATATCTTTCATGTAAACTTGTTATACCTTCTGTACTTTTAATAATTCAATATAATTAATAAGCATAATAAGCATCCTTGGACATTTTACACTACGCTTCTTGTCCCAAACTAAGCAAATCTTGTACTATGGGTACTAGACAACGGATATAAACATACTTAAATACTTTTTTTTTGTAAATACATACATATTATACATAGTAACACCCAGACCCGTCTCACAGAAATTAAAATTCATAATTTCAATTTCTGCCCGGCCGGGAATCAAACCCGGGACCTCTGGGCATAGTAGTAAGTTTCCGGCCGACTATAAAAAGTAACATTTAATAATTAAACTCGCCACATGGCGAGCTCCTGTATCTTTTTAGTATCATACTATTGTTTGTCTGAAACTCATCATTGCTCCAGAAACGGTACGAGAGCTGTTGTCCCACGTGCCCGGGACGGTGAAGTCCGAGCCGCCCACGGGCGTGTCGCTGGTGCCGGTGCTGGGCGCGGAGTCGGGCCTGACGCCGCTGCACCTGGCCGCCTACAACGGCAACGAGAACGTCGTGCGTCTGCTGCTCAACTCCGCCGGCGTGCAAGTGGACGCCGCCTCCACTGAAAACGTTAGTGCTGGACTTCGTAATGTTTTTTGAAGCCGCGAAAGCTGAACGTTGAAGGGGTCGGACTCGCCGACTCGTGTCGTGATCCGGGGAACGCGGGTTCGGTCCCCGCCGCCGCTCGACTATTGTGGTGAGCTCACTCGTGTCGTGACACAAGCATATTTAGCTTAGTACGAGGGGCTAACGGGACTATTAAAAAATATAATCCTTTTAAAAAAATGTTTTCTCAGGATGGCATCATAATAAACAATTTATGTTTATTTTATATTTAATTTCAGGGCTTCAATCCACTGCACTTGGCGTGCTTCGGAGGCCACATGTCAATAGTGGGTCTTCTCCTTAGTAGATCAGCAGAGCTACTACAAAGTACTGATCGCCACGGCAAAACCGGTCTCCACATAGCGTCAACATACGGCCACTACCAGATGGTCGAAGTGTTATTAGGGCAGGGAGCTGAAATAAATTGCACGGACAAAAATGGGTGGACACCTCTACATTGTGCAGCTAAAGCAGGCCACCTTAACGTGGTTAAACTTTTATGTGAATCGGGAGCTTCTCCAAAAAGTGAAACGAATTTAAACTGTGCCCCTATCTGGTTCGCGGCCTCAGAGAACCACAATGATGTGCTGGAATACTTGCTCCACAAAGAACACGACACTCAGTCCTTGATGGACGACAAGCGGTTCGTGTACAACTTGATGGTGTGCTCGAAGAACCACAACAATTTACCAATCGAGGAGTTTGTGCTGGTGTCGCCGGCGCCGGTCGACACCGCTGCGAAGTTATCCAACATCTACATCACCCTATCCACTAAGGTAAGAACGAGAACAAAGACGGCATATTCATCGCAATCAGATTCGTCAAAGCTAACCTAACCAATCGAATAAAAAACAATATTTTCCGCGATAGCCATGTTAAAAAAAAATGCAAATATTCACTTACGTAATCTCAATAACATTACTTTAAAAGTAACAACCATAAATATTCAACAAGCATTGTTCCTAAATAGGAAAAGGAGCGTGCCAAAGACCTCATCGCAGCGGGGAAACAATGCGAGGCTATGGCCACCGAGCTGCTCGCGCTGGCCGCCGGCGCGGACTCGGCCGGCCACATCCTCACCGCCACGGACAACAGAAACATCGAGTTCCTCGACGTTCTCATAGAGAACGAGCAAAAGGAAGTCATTGCCCACACAGTCGTTCAAAGATATCTTCAGGTAAAAAATAGGTAACTTCAGAAACTACATTGACCATACCCGTGCCTAGATGTGCTCAAATATTCAGCATCACTCTTTTTTTCCAGGAACTCTGGAGAGGGAGCCTCAAATGGTCGGGCATCAAAATAATGATCCTTTTTTTCGCTTTTATAGTTTGTCCACCAGTCTGGATGGTGTTCTCTCTTCCCTTAGGTCATAAGTTTAATAAAATCCCCATTATGAAGTTCATGTCGTACCTAACGGCCCACATATATCTCATGATACTGTTATCTCTCGTAGCTATAACGCCTATCTATAGTTCAATATTTAGAGAAAGTTTAGTTCCCAGGTGGTATGAGTGGATGCTACTAATATCACTCAGCGGGCTTCTGCTCTTCGAGCTTACCAATCCTAGTGATAAGTCGGGCTTGGGGTGGATCAAAATAGCTGTCCTGTTATTCGGGATGATCGGAGTGGCCACTCACGTCATAGGCTGGATGACCGTCCAGCCTAAATATTGGCCGACATTAATGTACTGTAGAAATCAGTGTTTCGCTTTATCTTTTCTATTGGCCTGCGTTCAAATATTAGACTTCCTCTCTTTCCACCATCTCTTCGGACCGTGGGCAATCATCATCGGTGATCTCATGAAGGACTTGGGGAGGTTCCTCGCGGTGCTAGCGATATTCGTGTTCGGATTCTCGATGCACATCGTGGCTCTGAACCAACCGTTTAGGAATATACTCAAAGTGGAGGACAATAAGTATGCACGACAGATGAGAAAGAAGATATTTTCCGACGGTGAGGACTTTTCTTTTATATCACTATCACATCACCTTCATTTTCATGTTTTGTGTGTCAGTTTTTTATGTCGTGTTCAATTGTTCATTATACAAATTTCATACAGAGAAACACTTCATATTTTCGTATCATTTAACTGTATACTTGTTGTATATTAGAAAGCCTACGAACGAAACGCCAAAGTTACTATCCATGGAGTAACAATGGGGAGTCGTACAGGAGGAAACAGGGCCCGGGAGGACGTAAGTCCGCCTTAGAGAGAAGACACAGTTTTACATTATGCATACAATGGATGTCACTCATACGATGATCGCATTATGTCTCGATGGTGCTTCTTTTTGTTTTATTTTTGATGACCCATGCATCCGCTTGAGGCTTGTTGAATGTTTCCTATCCTTCACCTCGAGAATGTTATCATCGTTGACTACATGTTTAGATTAATGTCGCAAACACAGACCTGGAATGTGATAGGACTCTGTACTATACAACCGACACAACTGCATCGCCACTATTTATGGTTTATTTTCATACATGTCAATCATAAACGATGGCGTTCAATTTGATGGTTTAGAATGTTCCGTAATTCACAGTGCATATTCTGCCTCGCAACGATCCGCTTTATGAAGGACATGTGTTCCAGATATGGATGTTGTCACAGAAAATGCATTGCGCGTCACAATAATAGTTTTAGTGGAATGAGTGGCCGACCTCACCGCATTCGATGGAGCAATATGATTTGCGCATGTGGCTGCTTATGTCCCGCGATTGTCACGCAGGTGTCTTGAGGTACCACTTTACGGTTTTTGTTTCTATTACGAATGTTGGCTGTTTGTCGTCCTGTGGCGCCTCCCGCGCTCACGCTGTTGGTGTCTCGATAGATGATGTAGATGGGGCTGGATTGATACAATCTCACCCAAATTCCTTGGATTCTACTGATCAATTACCAAAACATGAATTCCTTTCACAGATTTGAAAAAATGTATCAATCTGTCCCAGCCATTTACTGTTAGCTGATATTTGTAGATTCTTAGAACAGGTAGGGGCAGATTCATGCGAACTGTCGCTCTGACTCCCCGGTGGAGTCAGGCGGACGTGTCCGAGTATCAACCTACCCCTACCGCGTAGCTTCACAAAGAACGTGGTCCATGTTGCGTCTTGTCTTCTAGCGACGTTGACACCGATCGAGGCCTTCGAGAAATTGTTCTTCGCCCTTTTCGGCCAGACCACATTGTCCGACCTGAACTACGTGACAACCTTGCGGCCCCTGTGGACCCAGAACATATTCAAGTTCGTGTTCGGCGCGTACTTGCTGATGTCTGTCGTGGTGCTAGTAACGCTCCTAATTGCGATGATGTCGGACACTTACCAGCGCATCCAGGTACAGTACATAGGTGTACAGCTAGGCGGTTTTGTTCGCAGTGACTATGAACCCGCTGTCGTCGTTCGAGCTGCTGTTCTTCGCGGTGTTCGGGCAGACCACGACGGAGCAGACGCGCGCGCACCGCATCGACAGCAACATGCAGCCCGCGTGGACCAATTACTTGTTCAAAATAGTGTTCGGCATCTACATGCTGGTGTCCGTGGTGGTGCTCATCAACCTGCTCATTGCCATGATGTCTGACACGTACCAGAGGATCCAGGTAACGCGCGACTACTTCTACGATGACTGCACTGGATAACACCGCTTCCAATAAACTAATTTACTAATCAATACTAACTAATAATGATTAAAATACTATTTAACTTCAAGTAATTAAATTTCTTAAATTTTACCACTCATGTTCATGTATTCTACAATACATTACCTACAAGTCTCTACAATGACGACTTGATTGAGCATTTTATTTCATTACTTATTTACTCAATTTATGTAGGTAATTTATTTCATACCTTTCTTAATATCCTATCCTTAAACGGTATTCGTATTCCCGATGTCCACTATCAGCTGTAGGTGGTAAGTAATAGCTACTTATACTCGTAAATAGGAACTTAATACTTATAGATCCTATAATTTTTCATTACAATCATTTAATTAAAAATCTATATTGTTTATTTTTAAGGTTTAATTTATCTTTGTTAATATAACAACTCATTTAAAGTGAATTTTAATAACCTATATTAAAGCTCTAAATAAATATTTTACTTAATTTAAGCACGTTTGCAAACAAATCTGCATGCAAAAGAATCTTGCACACAGCTATGATTTCTAGCAACAAAAGTCAATTAATTATGGCCCTTATACAAAACAACCTTCAGAATCGTTAACATTTAAAGACGTTTGGCAGACAACATATTTAGAAGCCTGGCTATATTAAAATCATCATAGCTGTATCCAAGAGTCTTCCACAAATACAATTTAGCAGTTGATTCAACGAGCCCACTTTTCAGGCACAATCCGACATCGAGTGGAAGTACGGTCTGTCCAAACTGATCAGGAACATGCACAGGACCAACACGGCTCCCTCCCCACTCAATTTGGTCACCACCTGGCTCATGTGGCTTATTGCCAGGTGTAAGGTAAGAAATATTTTGTCGAACTAATAAATTACTTTAGGTTTACACATTAAAGGCGATTAGTATACTTTTCACTCTCAGTTAAATGACCATTTAGATCTAGAATTCTAGATGCTTTTGATTTAATATTTAAATCTGTACCTATAAACACTGTTGACTTTGGTCGTTTTTGTCCCAGGAACGAATAAGCAAGAAGAAGAGGCCAAGCCTTGTGCACATGATCGGCCTCCAGCGGCAGGACCAGATGAGCGCCAGGTCCAAGGCCGGGGCCAAGTGGCTGTCCAAGGTCAAACGAGGCCAAGTGGTTCCCAAGGGTATGTTTTTCATAGCGAAGTTATGGAAAGTCGGAGTCTAATGCTGAAATTAATTTATGGCTAATATGAACTTACCAATTGCAGACTCGACGCGTCTATCTGTAGTGCACCTCAGCCCGCTCGGCTCGCAGATGAGCTTCAACAACATGACGCGGATAGAGAACGTGGTGGACTGGGAGGTCATCGCCAAGAAGTACCGCGCGCTCATGAGGGACTCTGACTCCGAGGAGCACCACTCCAAAGAGCGGCGAGGAGGACACGGCCGATGATGTCTCCGAGATCATGCCCAACAACATCCCTCCTCCCTGAAACAACGGAGAGATGTGTGATAAAATATTTTTAAAGCAATAGCTGAATGCTGATCCAAGTGTCACCAACTTAACACATATTGAAGATTCCGGTTCCAGCACCACGGGATCGGGGACCAAAGAGGACTTGGTAAAGTGTGTGGTAGTTGTAAAGGGCTTCCCTTCTAAAATCGGGTTAGTTTCTACTTCCAGATTATAGTCGATACGTATTTGATGTCTTCGATGGCGATGTAGTGATGTTGTCATGAGTAATAATTAGGTATTATCGGTAAGTAAGTTTAAACATTTTGTGATGGTTAAGTGTCACTAAGCAATCTAAGATTCTAAATAATAGTTGACGATAAAGTGCCTAAATAAAAACACAGAAAATATTATTTGTATCGTAAGAATTGTAAGTAATGCATTTTGTATGGTGACATCGTAAGAGGAATTTACATTTCAATATAAATTGCAACTACTTAGGTATTATTATTATTAAAATATTAATATAGTTAGTTATTTATACATTTTAAGGGTAAATATTGGTTTTGCTAACGTATATTAATATTTTCTAGTCTTCTCCATTCTAGTCAGTATTGTTTTGAGTATTAGTAATATTGTAAATACGTAAGTTTTAATAATAATATGTATGTACATAAAAGTATCATATTCAGCAGTAAGTATACAATGTAACAAGTATTATTTTAATTAAAAAAAACAATATTATTTGTTAGTCTTTTATTATTAAGCTACATAATTTTAGTAAAAGTAATTTGTTTACATAATTAAATCAGATTTAGAATTTTATATTTATTTTTGAAAAGCTTTTTACTAGCTTTTCTAAATACGATACATTAAATTAAAGAAATTGCTTACCTAATGTAGTTTAAATTCATTTCTTTGTAGAGTCTTTGTACGAAAACATCGTATTTATCGTTAGTTCATTTCCAACACCGAATAAGTAAATCATAATAAAGTCCATTATAGTAAAGCTAAAAACTAGAAAATCTTTCCCATACCACCACTAACATTCTGTTAATATTTGTAAGTTTCATTTGGACGTACCTAATGTTGTTTCTTGTTTATTTAAGTGCCCAATCAATGCCTCTTTTGATTTCCTAATAGTATCTCAAGCAACCCATAAATTAGGTACTTTATGCGTATTTGAGTACCTAATCTGACGTTGTTCGTTTAAAGTTTTCATAGTACTTGTGTATGTTATATTGCTGACTGTATTAGGTACCTACATCTTACGAGTTTTCATTTAATTTTGTATTTAATAATATTGCTTAATATCTCCTTTGTAAGCAATAAGTTGCGCCTGCAATAGCCAGGCTGATAACATAGTGAAATTATGTATTTTGTCCATAATTTGTAATATCATAACTACTTAGTATTAATGTAATTTTGTTAATACTATTTTTGTAAATAAACGTGTTGTGCATTTGTGTATAATATCGTTTCATTTACCTAAATAAAATAAGTTTTCACACAGTCAAAAACACTAGGATTCTGAAAGTAAAATAAAGTTGAATTTTATAACGATTTGTAGTTAAGTTTGTGAGTTTATCATACTCTCGAAGATGAAAAAAATCAACCAGGAAAGTCTGAAGAGGTTTAAAACAAGGATCTTATAGTAATAACGACAACTTGTCGAGCAATTTCAATTCTAGCAACCAACATCTCTGACTAATCCTCAATAACAACGTTGAGTAGTCGTGTGTAGACTAGTAATGAGTGGCTAGATAAGAACCTTGATGACATTCACGTGTCTACAATTTAATTGTCTTTAACTCGGGTACAAAACTATCAAATCAGTGATTATTTTTATAATACCGTTTTAGTTGTAACAACTGATATTAGACTCCAACTATTGCCACAAGAAGTTTTCCATAGTTAAATCTGAATAGTTTGTATTTTTAAAGAGACCAGGTTTGAAATATGTAAGTACAAGTATTAAAAAGTCATAGGACATTTCATTTGTAATAGAAAATATTGCAAGGACGATGTGTTGCGTAATTAACTATAGATACTAAAAAATACCTGTAAGTAGAGGTTACCTCTAGCGCCTTACTTCCCTTACCATTAATTGTCTTCCATTTCAGAATTGAAAATAAACCTTATCTTTGTTTTTCAACGAGAAAAGAAATATTGAAATTCAAAAACGAAAAACGTGTGAAAAGCAACATGAAGAAGGAAGTTGAATTGATGAAGGATAGAAAATGAATTCCAAGTAAATCTAAGTAGAAGAAAATTACCTAGGTCTCAATCAATGTCGTACGCACGGTACGTAGGTAGGTAAGTATATTAAATAAGTATTACACACTGATTGGTTGATGACTAATTCAAAATTAAAAAAAACCTTACATACTGTTTTTTTTTTTATAAAAATAAAATCTAATAATAAATATTAATATTCGTTTACAATAACAATTCTTTTAACATAACTTTATCTGAAGGCGCTTAAATTGTTTAAAGAAATGTCTACGAAGAAATAGAATTTGAGTTGTTGTAACTAATTACGAGCGTACATTTCTCGCATTTTCTCATAAGGTCACTTTTACGAGCCAGTGTTATCTACGGTACATTTCCATCACCTACTCTTTATAACAAAGTCAAAGTATTTGCAAAGAATAGGTACGACAGTGTTCACAATTTAGGTGTTAAATTTAGATACAGTGATACTATTCTGCTTAACATTATCAGCATGTTTTTTTGCATTTACCTACATAGATATAGATACCTGCAATTATTATCTATAACGACAAAACTAACTTATTGTTTAACGTCTTTCCATAGTCTTTCATAAAAGTAATAGGTTAATTAAGATTGTTACTTTCGAAATATCAGCAGCAGGTATCATTTCAGTTATTTCGTTCGTGTCAGCCAAATGACGACCACTGCTTAACAAAGGCCTCCCTCAAGGACCACCAAGTTCTAGAACTAAAGTTAATATAATACTAGTATCAAATTAACTTTATAGGTACGTAATATAGTTTATAAAGTTATTCAAGTGTTTTCATCAGGTAGTTATCATCTCATCATGATGAACTGGTGATGGTAGGTACCTACAGCTCCTTAACGCATAGGAGTTGGAGGATAGTTCTTTCAATATTATAAGTACAAATGTCTATTTTACTTATTGTACATTTTTTATTGTATACTCGTATGTATTGGTACAAATGTCTTTGAATACAGTTGTATTATTTCATGTTTTTAAGGCTCACTGACGGTTTAAAGGCTTTTTAGGTTGCCAATATAGCCCTGTATTTTGTAGGGAATATTATTTTATAGTCTCATTGTACTACCCATCTTCAGTGGTAACATCAAGATAGTAAATTAGTTAACGAAAAAGCAAGAAATAAGTAAATTTTAACAAAAAAATAAAACCGCCTCTAAAAACATACACTAAAAAGTAGAAAAGTTATGTAATTACTCATTTAGGCACAAACCAGTTTTGTAACAAGAGGGATTGTTTTTATAAATAGTTTAGGTAATTTTAAAAAATGGTAGAGCACGATCACTCTTGTGAAGTCCTGTGATTGAGCGATCCTTGACTTCCTGGATACCATGTATAGATAAATAAACATAAGGAAAAAAAATTAAGTAAGTGTTAAAAGCAGTGTAGGTATAATTAATCCAATAAATAATGGAGTAGCCAACTTCAGCTGCGCAAATACTACTGTTCAGTCAAGATGTCAATCGTCCAAGCCAACGTAGTGTGGTGCATTGTTTTTGCGATTTTACCCAGTAAGTGCTTCAATCTATTTTAGCGAACGAAAATCCATTTATTAATATAGACTATCTGACGCGATAGATACGTGTGTAATAATACCTGCAGGAAAAAATCTCTTTTTCCCCGTCTCCCTCAAAAAACAACATATTTAACAATTCAAATTAAATACTTACTTATCGATATTTTTAGATATGTTATCCCTATCAAAGAATCCCTGTAAAGTTTTTTTTTTGTGATTTTGCAGATGTCTTTGAGCAGACCTCAGGAGCGTACCTTCGGTGCTATCGTGGGTGAGAAATTAATTAATTATCATAAGTATTAATACTTTTATTTTAACCCAAGTAAACAATGTCTGCACGATGCGGTAATGCATGTCAATGAACAGGTATTTAATTAGGTTCTCTACGTGTTCATTCGTAAGGCTTCATTGACTGAACCCTGTTTATAATTAACAGCTCCTTCACCAACTACACTGAAGTTCCACTGACCAATCCCGACTCGCTTCTGACCGCCCGCAACCCCTGCATCGACAAAAAAAAATGGACCGTAATCGTAGGCAATGGATATAACAACGATGTAGAAAATGGTCCGGCAATAACCACACTGCTGACGAAGTACAGTTCTCTGGGGACTGTCAATGCAGTTCTGCTGAACTGGTCCAAAGAATCCAAAGGCATAGGACTTTTAGGGATACTGAATTATCCCACTGCAGTCACTAATTCACTGATTGTAAGTATTAACGTTATCAAAGAAAATAAGTATTATGTAAATAATGTCCGCAATAGATACTTATTCAATAGGTATATTTATCATTCTTGAATATTTTCTAAGCAACACAGTACGGATACACATCAACCCAGTAGTGCCATTACTGTTGTATCTGGATACCCGTTTGTAAATTTCTTCACATTGTCACTTTTCACGTTTCACACATCATTCATATTGTCACTTTAGTAAATAAAAATTACACTTCCTGATACCATTGCAGGTCGCCAAACAACTAGCCAAGGCAGTGATAAGATTGGTAGAGCTTGGGTTGAGTAAAAAAATCCACTTCGTCGGACACTCTTTGGGTGCGCATCTATTAGGGCAGGCTGGACGTGAAACTATCAAAAAGAGTTTGACCATACCAAGGTAGGTTGTAATTTTATTTTATTTTTGAGGCGGTGGAAATGCATGTAACGAACTCCTTTAACCCTTCTTTTCATAACAATATTAGTTAATCTATAAATACACACAAATTATAAAAATATCCCTGTTAACCTCGTGGTTATCTAAAAAACGCACTCGTAGCGTTCACCACCATTAGAAGGTCGTCCTTCGTTTATCGTAGTAAAAATCTATTTCCGACTCAAAAGAAGGTGTCATCGGGTTAGGTGCAACAACCGTATGTAAGGGTCCAACATCGAAATCTCAAAAAATAAATTCCCTTCTCCGTGTTCCGTGCAAAATAGAACACTAATTAATTGGATAGAGCAAAGTTTATTTATATTATACTCTCTCTCTCTTTCTCTATATCTCAATCAATTAATGCCTTCTTCTTTGATCCTTCCGAAATAAAGCCTTACACGTTGCTCTCGTACATTTCCAGGCTCACTGGTCTGGACCCCGCGCGCGTGGGTTTCGACCCCTACTGGGCGTACCCGCCAGTGGACACCAGCAGCGCCGGCTTCGTGGACATCATCCACTGCGACGTCGGCGGCTACGGCCTGAACAAGTCCATCGGCCACGTGGACATATGGGTCAACTACGGACTCTACCTGCAAGGCATTAGGAGGCAGCCAGGGTGCAACAAGAGCTATACGCTTGAGGAGATTGGCAGTGGAGGAAGTATGATCATTTTACAGCATTACAAATGGCTCAAATCAAATCATCTTAGGCTTACATCCCAAATATAGATTGCCCTTCCACCACTTCGGGGCAACATATGGGCTGGTGTTGTAAAGAAGTGGCAGAAAATCAGGCTGGTTTTTGTAAAAAAGTAGTCTCTTATTTTGAGAAAACTAGGTCTATCACAGAAGACTATCGCATCTTAACATCTGGGATGATATTTTGATAGAGAGCAAACCCATCTGTTTGTACTGACAGTTGTCATTATCATTATCAGCATTGCAGGGGACTACTGGATTACTCATAGTTGTATTTGTTTGTTATTTGACAGACAGATGCAGCCACGACCGCAGCTGGCAATATTACAGCGTTTCCCTAACGAGCACTGAGTTGTTCGTGGCTGGGCCGGCTTGCAACTACTGCGATTGGCTCGCTAAGAACGGAATCTTCGTCAACGTAACTTATATAGGGCCGAAAGTTAATCTACAGTAAGTTACTATTTCATTTCACTGCAGATGAGGACAAGATAAAATGATTTGTGAGAATTATGATAAAGCGTATTTCTGTTCAAAACCATAATCTTACAAATCGTATTGCTGTGCAATGAAATACCCACGGACTGCATTAGTTCATTTTGATTTTGATTTTAAAATAGAATGACACTAGAGCATGTTCATTTAAGACGTAAAGCAAGCATGTCTATGATTAAAAGCACTGATGTGAACACAGTTATGAATCGTGGATGACGTAGGTCTGAACTAATTATTTTAAATTTTCAGGATAAAAGGCAACAGTTTCTTGACTACATCGGACACACAGCCGTGGGGCAAAGGAGAAGATGGACTTCTGCCCTAAGAATGAATTTCTTATTAATGAATGATACATTTTTCATTAAAAGTCATTTCATGTTATCTTCTTTGTATTATTCAAAGTATCCCACAGATTAGAGAATAAGTCTAAAGAAATATCCGAAAAAGTAGATGTAAGCTACAAGAAATATCTTTAGTCAGAATCATCTTCTAGGTATTTACTGTGGTTGAGAATTCCGGGTGAAGCTCGCTTCTACCTTTGGCCTGATCATCGCTTATTATCAGGTGAGATACAGGCCAAGAGCTTCCTCGATGTGGTTAAAAAAAGATAGATGTCTTCACTCGTACCGTGAAGATCAAGATAAAAAAATTTTTTACTTCGTATTTGAGTGAGATTGTGATCAAAAACCAAAAAGCTCAGAGTGAATGATTCACTCTTTTAGGTACACCTCATATTTTTAAGTTAAGGAAACATTTCATTAACTTTACATAGGAATGGTTCCAAAAAAATAGTACCTAAGTAGGTACCATGCTATTGATTTGGACAATAGGTATAAAATAAACTTATCAACAATTACAGATATGTATCATTAAATTTGGAATTCCATGTAAAACAAAGAAACGAATTATTACCGTAGACAAAAAAAAAGGAGTAGGTGAATAAGTATTGGTATTCATTCAATGACTCTACATAAACCGCAAATAAGCACACAAGGCATCTTCTCTGACTAAGCCATTCGTCAATGGTGCACCGCATTAAAGTTACTTATTATTATCGTTTTCACTTTATATTATACACTAGCGGCCGCCCGCAACTTCGTACGCATGGATCCCGTTTTACCCCCTTAGGGGTGGATTTTCATAAAATGCTTTCTTAGCGGATGCCTACGTCATAACATCTACCTCATGCCAAATTTCAGCCCGATCCGTCCAGTGGATTGGGCTGTGCGTTGATAGATCACTATGTCAGTCAGTCAGTTAGTCAGTCACCTTTAAGTTATATAAATTTAGATTCATACAAGGGCAAACCCAAAGTCCTACTCTATCAAAACTGTTTTATTAGTTTGACTAGTCCTGCCTCTCTTCCGCCTTGGAGGTAATTTTTACGGTCGCAGTGTCATAAGAGTGTAAATAAATGGACTCAATTAAAAGCTCTCATCCCCTATCGTATTTAAGAACTACTACACTAGACCCTGATGAGATAGATATAGGATCTACAACAACTTTTACTCTGGGAGTTATCTTGTATAATNCTCGGACACCGAGCCCACAGCGTGGTAGGGGTGGGGTTGCCCGCTCTTTTGTTTTTACTACTACTGCGCTGAATATTGTGTGCGGATTGGCTTGTCGTACAGGGGTACTACTTGGTAAAATAAATCTCGGAGGCGAAAGCAGGATAATATTGAAAATATTAATATGTATTCTCGTCCCACCTTAATCCCATTTAAATATATTACACAGTAGAAAATCTGGGCTATATTCTTACGATAATTCAGTAATGCTTGCATCAACCTACATATTACCGTCAAGTTCTAATTCCAGTAAGTAGGTGCCTATATTTTAATCAGGTTCTAACTTAATAACATCGAATCAGAAATGGAATTTCTTAGTCTATATTTTATTTTCTCATGGCATAGGTAATGACTCCAGTGATATTACATTACTCAAGATGAAAACCCAAGATGATAAGCCAACCATTTAAACTACGCCTTACTCTAAACCATAGCAATTATTGTTAACTACAGCATTTAAGCGACCAGCAACACAATCGAATTATTGCATTACTAGTAACACAGATCTAGCCTCAAATCTAAGATAAAGTAATATTAGATTTACAGGTAAACTGCGCTAGGGTATGGCGTTTAGGGCTTAAGGCGATGGCGATTGCGACAGTCCCTAATAGTGAAGGCGAAACCGGTTGATTGAATGCAACTGTGATGCCAGGAAAGGTTAGCAACTCCTCGATTTCCTTAGGAAATACTCGTAAATGGATATTAAGTATCCTGTAGATGTGTTTTCATTGAAATACCAATAATAAAGAGATTAAGAGACGCTGCTGTATTGAGAATTATGTTGACATTAAACTAGCAGCTAAATATTTATTAAAAGAAACAGAGATGCATATACAGACGCAATAAACGCGTTAAGAACACCGTCTAAATTGGTCCTTTACAACTTTTGTATTTCTCGAGTCTGTTAGTCTTTAAAGAACAGCTCTACCTTCGTTCGTTGCATTAAATTGGCTTTGTAAAATGTGCCTGATAGGATACACGATTCGTACAATAATTATTAGAGTTTAAGTAATATCTGTAAGAAGTTTGGACTGCAATGTAAGTAGGTACACTTTAAAACAGCAGGTAGCTTTATCAAGCTATTTGGCAAGTTGTTAGCCCAATTCTAAAGCCGATTTTTATTTAAGCACTTGTGAAATTAAAAGCTATTAGTGGTACGGATTGCATGTACCTTACGTGGTATGGTTGCTAAAGCTAACGAAGTTGGCGACTCTGTGAACGGCCTACCAAATAGCTCCAACATAAAGGCTCCAACAAACAGCGTGACGCCGCCGTTCTAATAAAATTTTATATCGGCGAACTGCTTGACAAGCAGTGCATGACCAATTTGATGAATTTTGATATAGACTATGGAGATATTGAACCTGGAAGCACCTTCCTCTACCTTCTAATCAAAAACTTGAAATAGGGAATGAAAGTCAAAATAACATAGAGAACAAAATAATATCGTAAAAAGAAACTTTGAAGAAAGGGTGAGAGGCCTATTAGATAATAAAGAATATAATTTATTGTATGTGTTCGTAAGTTGTTCTACATTTTCAACCAACTGTAACAAACTCACGTGTCTTTTGTACAGCAAAGTGAGCGATCAATCATCTCTTCTGAGCGGTGGACGCTTACATTTAGGCACAAAAGAGCAGAAAATGTTTTAGTCACAATGATTTGTAAATTATTTCGAGGTCACAACAACATCAATTCTTCTGTAACTGGCTATTACCTAACAAATAAATCTGTAAATAGCTTTTGTCTGTGCAATTTGCTATGTTCAAATGTAAATTGGTTAAAGATATGGCACCAGAGTTTTGAGTGCCTTCAAAATCGCAAAATGAAAATAATTATTTCATTATCATCGAGAACGATAATATCCTCTTATCAACCTGTCTCTACCATTAAGACTGGGTTCACAAACAGATTTCAAAGGAGAAGGAAAATAAAAGTGTCATTTATAGGTAAGCGAGTGAAATTAAATACGAAATAGTAAATAAAAAAACTTAGAAAAACGAAACAAACAATCATTACGATACGATAAAAACAAGCTTTTATGGTTCATCTCTACAAATAAATCTGCTAGCCATACTAAAGAAGTATTCAGTTCCTTTCCTTCCTACTGCTAGCCCAATAGGGAATAACAGTCCGTGTCGAAACGCGCATGCATTTTCATTATCAAATTAATCAGTCAGCCGCACCCGCAGACGCGCGCGTTCGTCGCGGCACGGACAAAGCGCGGAAAATATTTTAAAATATTAATTCGATTTTCAAATATTTCTAACAATATTTTTTTTAAAGAAAAAAAAATAAAACGAATAGCGAATTAACAATAAAATATGATAATAAACCTTCTTTGATTGAGTGAATAAAAATAATTAGTCATAAAAAAAATTGTGATGCGTACGTTTTTAATAATAAACGCACTGGCAACCACAATCGCGGCGGAACTGAAATAAAAGTTAATCCCACGTTAATGAAGTGAAAATTAAAATAAGTTAAATAAGTTCAAAATGTTGTCTCATGTAGCAGCTTTATTTTTATCACTGAGTAAGTATTGATTGATTAAATTAAAATAGCTTTATGTACGTACTGTCGTCTTTACTTCTCTTTGTGATTTGTCGAATATGCAAATTGTATTGCGTTATTCTGTCGACGGACGAAATGTTATTGACCTTATCGGTAAGACTGTTCTCAATTTAAAATTAAAAAAAAATATCTTTATTATGGGGGTCTTTAAACTAAAGCTAAATGTAAAAATTTCTTAAGATTATCAATTTCTCAATCTGCAATAAAAATAGGAAGTAATATGTTTTAATTAATTTAAGGTAGACATGGACATGTAATTTATAACTTCAAATTAATTAATTATCTTTTACGTTTGTCATAAATTCATAACCATAACTCATCGACGTAACTGTCCAGAAAAATATAACAATAAAAAATCATTCGATATGTACCATTATTCGTAGAATATAAATCATTACATTTTTTGCATTGCTCAAATTGTGTATTTCAACATTTCAGGTGCACTCCATGTGACACGGACACACGCAGCAAATCTACGATGTTATAAAGGGTATGATTAAATTCAATAACCCACGCCATTAATATTCTGTCTTACAAATTGAGAACAATTAAAACAAACCCACATAATAACTCCCATATCATAAAAAATATAACTCCCAAAGTCCCAATTTATTAGTAACTAGTGATAAAGTACGTAAGCTCTGATTTTTAATTCGACGGAATTTTGACATTTCAGAAGTGTTGCCAACATTGAAACATTCCCACTAAGAATGGAGAGCATTTTCACAAATTAAAAAATAATCCTTTCTTGAATTTAAGGTTTCACTTGTAAACCTAAGGCTTAAAAATGTACTGATCAAAATGGTCATTTGAATTTTTATTATCATATTTTTGAAGTTACAAAAAAAATTGGGAAATTATTTTTCTATTACTGGACTCCCTGGCCAATAATCCATGGGTTACAAACCTTTTTTTATGAAAATCCTATTGTTAATAAAATCTTAGATTCTTATAATAATCAATTTGACAAGATGCCAATTTTATAATCCAAGTTGATTAAGATGACGATAATGATGATTGATGATCAATGCATATTTTCGTTTATGTTAATATGTTGTTTTACTGTGATAAAAACACCTTTTTTTCTATTTAGTCTCTAAAATGTACATATGTAATAATTAGTGTACATTGAATTCACAAAACAAACAATAGTTCATTCTTGAAACTTGTACTTGATGAAATTTCATTTCATATTATTTATTATTAATTCAAAGCAAAAAAGGCTTATTACATCTGAATTGTCAAAAAATGACAGCTGTCAGAATTCCGTCGAATTAAAAATCGGACTATAGTACAGAATTAGCCATTACTTTTCCTGTAAAATTTAAATTTCCCTCTGTTGATAAGCATGAAAACAGTATTATGGGACCGTTTCCGGTGCCGGTTTACTTATCCTATAAAATTTGAATCAAATATTGCTATGGGATCGCTACGGGCTGCCAGTGTAATTTTCTAGAGCCATCCACGGCACTTCGTAAAACTAGGAAACAGGCGTCGATATTTTGCCTGACCATTTTAGGCGATCCGGATTTTGGCCAAAGAATAGTCGAGAGTTCACCTGACAGCGACAGCACCAACGTAATCACCTTAAAGATGCAGGAAGAGCGCGCTTATCTCGTGATTTGACATTTATTTTCACACCCGGTATGCGGCTTTACTGGTGCCATTATCAATACGATAAAAGTGAAGTACCGAGCTTCCTCATCCCTGAGCGATGTGTCGCTTTCTCTCTGGTGGCATTGACATTTGCAGCCGCAACAAAGAGGAACGATCGCATATTGCACAGGTCACAGACGACAGACATCAGATTAAACTATTTTAGCAAAAAAGTTGCCATTAAAACCGCATTGGTACAATGATTAGCTTGACATGCCGCCTTCTGTACTTAAGCATTTTTTCTATCGTCGTTGTTTGCATTGCGAATATTTTGTAAAATATTTATTACATAGTAAAACTGAAATTTAATTTTACAAGACAAAACATGAATCCTGTGGGAAAAGAAGAACAGTAGAGTCGTGGGCCTTTGGGAATAACCCGGGCTATTTCTCACGCGGACCTGGCGCATAGAATCAAGAAATGGAATTGAATTAAATTAATTACCTAAAAAATATGAGTATAAAGTTAAATTGTCTGAAAGACTTTCGATTTAAAGAATATATGCCATGTAGAACAGTCAATTTAAAACTGAAATCATCTTTAGATGGATTACCTTAGATTACATTGCTCGTGTTTGTTTTACAAAATGCTTATTTCGCCAATAAACGCCTACTGCAACCTATATCGCTTGTTTACACCGTATAAACCGTATTGCCCATCTCCCCGACCATAGCGATGTTATGTCAACCGGCACAAGGCCAGTGCAACTGGATTTTCGGCGCATTGCCCTCTCAACGTTGCATAACACCGATCAAAGGCTTGATGGAATAACAAAAACTGCTTGATCTTCCTTAATGAAGCGTGGACGGCCGAAAGACGCATGACGTGATTTAGGTCGCGGTGAGAACTGGGTACCTATAACATGGGTGCTCTGGGTTGAAGTCTGTTACAGGGACTGTTCTAGACTACACCATAGGCCTGTGTCTTTACACGATTAAAATTGTTACATACGCTATTGATTCTATTCCGGAATTTTAATTTAACTCTTGACTTATAATACCTATTAAACCGCTTTTGATCTGCGTAATGTCTCTAGTGATTAGTAAATAAGTTTGTATTGTAGTAAGAGTTACGATGTTGGCATAATTATCTAATTCTTTGCTGTCTTAAAGATCAATAAAGATGAAATAATTTGGCAATAAGAAGGGAAACTATACCAAGGTCAATTGCATGGGTTTTTGGCACATGGTAGGTATCGTTACATAAGTGATCGGCGATTTCCTTCGCTATAACGAAACGATACCGGTTCTTTGTCGATCCAATAACAACTAAATAAGACCTCCAAGCCTACTCAAGCAACTTAATAAGAAAATTAGCACAATGCATGGACGGCATAGCTCGCAGAATTGCTAAAATCAAGTGGCAGTGGGCGGGGCACATAGCTTGTAGAGACGATGGCCGTTGGGGCAGGAAAGTTTTCGAGTGGCGACCACGGGCTGGAAGACGTGGCGTGGGCAGGCCTCCTACTAGGTGGACCGATGATCTGGTAAAGGTCGCGGGAAGAGCCTGGATGCGGGCAGCGCAGGACCGTTCATTGTGGAAAACCTTGGGGGAGGCCTTTGTCCAGCAGTGGACGTCATTTGGCTGAAACGATGGACGGCATAGTCGTTCAGGTATTGCTAGATGTGCAAATAGTCTGATGAGCACGAGGAAACCCTTACCCGGTGCAAGGTGTGATCTTTTTAAAGACATATGCAACTCTCTCAGATCTCAATTTAAAGACAATAGTAATGTCTTTATTCCCCCCTCACACTTACTTCTTTATTTAAGTTTCCTATTTATACACGGAATTTAAAAATATGTAACTAGTTTTAATTTAGCTCGTGGGTTGATTACATTTTTAATTGTCGCTTGCACATTCTAAGTCACCAGATCACCAAAAAACTGGAGCAGTGAGATCTACTATCATCAACACGTGACGCTATTACCATAATTCGATACTTACCCGTGTATTTGGGGTAAACCGATATGGATGGTGTTTTAAGATAATAATGTACATTATTATTTAGGTGCGTTAGTATTCAGGTTTCCTTTTACCTACCGATAATTAGAAAACTTGAATGGAATCACCTATGAAAGAGCGTAAAATGCTTAAAAACCGGGCTTGAAATTGACCCGGATACTTATTACAAATAATATCCTGTGTTTTATAACAGTAGGTAGCTAAAAAGTTTCGTAGGTAATCTAAGGATTATTTTAGCGAAGTATCTACCTAATGACATTCGGTAGACTTCGATCGATTCCTGATTTAAGGAACGTTAATGAAATCATTGATTTTATTTTCTGTCCTGAGCACCTGAATGTATGCACCTAGTACCTACATACCATTCATCGGAGATACTCGCAGTTTCGGATCTTACCAAACATTTTTAACGTTATCTATGTATAGTAGGAATTGTATAGAAACCGAAATCCGAGGATACAATTTCATTGTGCGAGATTTTTTCAATCACTTCTAGGTAAATAAATAAAGAATTTCATAAAAATAATTATTTAGGTTGCTAATGCCCGTTTTCACCATCAATCCCTATAATTATTAAGTGACCCCTATGGTAACACTTATCAGGAATTTTGTTTTCATATGGGTCACTTAAAAATTTTAGATTGATGGTGAAAACACGGGCATATGACAAGTTCTATTTACGACAAGATAGTAAGGGGCATCTGTAGGTACTTCATGACTACCAAACCTGCTTTCGAGTTGTATCTTCAGTTAGTAGGTATATCGTATTTAATTGTTATTATCGTAATAAAATACAACATTTAATGACTTTAATACTTCTTAACACATTGGCTGCGAGCGTCGCGCCGTACGTTATCCCTCAGTGCTAAAATCTCACACAAAGCGTGAGCGCCCGCACCGGCGTTCCGCGCGCTATCTGGATCCAACGCCTGTGCGGCCGAACACACATTACGCGTAAAAGTTCGATGCTACGGCTGTGCGGGCGCACACGTAAAGCGCGTAATAATCTGCCCATACGCCAGTGCGGCCCAACACATATGTTATGGTTTTCTATAAATTATGATTTTCGAATGTTTCTTTTGTCAAATCGCGATCCTGACCACACATACGTTTTAATTGTTAGTGAACTGTAATATAATCGGGATTCTTGCTTATTTTTATAACAACCACCTTCACGTGTCTTCCTCGTTTTGATAAACTACCGACCGTGTCGAAATAGCATCAAGTTTTTATTATCAAAATGTCTCCTTAAATAGTCATAAAATAATTTCGCTGTATCATGATGCGTACCACCCACATAATAGAATTAAGTGTTTAATGTATGTAATCCGAGCGTATTTCGGATCTTGTAGCGACTCTACAATAGGTATAATGAGTCTACGTGTAGCGAAGGAAGTCTGAATTACACAAGCTATAAATTGTAAAAAATCATTAATCGTCAATGGTTTATTTATTATACGTCCGTTTCAGATAAAATAATTATTTTGAGGCCAAGTAATACAGACAAAAAATTAAAAGGCGCTTTAAAATCACGAAACCTGTATTTTGTATGTTGAAGCTTACTATTTTTTCTACGATTTTCATATTCATAACAATATGCTAGTAATAAATATACTAATAACGACTGCTCTTAACGAAACCTCATTCCTTCTTATAAAGCTTCACTCAAGACTATCTATCTATCTGTATATATAAAAGAAAGTCGTGTTAGTTACTTCGCTTATAACTCAAGAACGGCTGAACCGATTTAGCTGAAAATTGTCAGGGAGGTAGTTTAGAGCCAGGAGAAGGACATAGGATACTTTTTATCCCGTTAGAAATTAAAATAAAGTCAGCTTATTTATTGCCATTAAGGCGGAACAAAGTTCGCCGGGTCAGCTAGTTATAGTATAAATAACAATAACATTTCCCCAATTCATTAACACAAATACATAGGTAGGTACACTCGAAAAACATAACCTTCCTGCTGTGTCAGTCGGGTAAAAATACAACATCGTGTTTACGCACGCATCCGAACGGAGCGTATCAATCACGTCCACGATTTTTGCCCATACTGTCGATATATTACTGCAAGTGGGTCGCCGACCCTATATCTAGTGGGCAGCCAAGCCACATCATGCTCTGCTAGCGATTGTCTGGTTTACTCATTACTACAACCTGCATTATACTAAAAAAAAGTTGTCGACGTTGTTGGAAAACGCACCCAAGACTCTACCATCACCTGTCCTAACAAACGAAACAAGTAAATAGATTACCTGTAACGAGTTTGCCTAATGTAATAAGTAGGTAAATCATCCATTCAAAATCGAAGAAAATGTCGGTTTTCGATCCTGTCGAAGTTGGCTGCCAACTTCGCCAAAATATGCTAAGAATGTTAGAATAAAACTAGTAAAAGTTAGGACATTTAGCTGGTAGGTACATTACCTTATCAATGCTTGCTACTCCCAAATTGGTATCAGAAACAAGGCAACAATAAAAAAAGCTGACGATGCTTTTGGTGACAAAAGACATTATAAAACCTGTATTGTTAGAGACCTATAATTAGAGAATGAGATGCAACCCGCATTGCAAGAACCCATTGATTTCAAACCGTCAGTTCAGCGGAACATTGGCAACTTTAATTGCACCTGGAGACAGTTTTGCTGGGACACCATCATGCGTGGGCAGGCCTCCTACTAGGTGGACCGACGATCTGGTAAAGGTCGCGGGAAGAGCCTGGATGCGGGCAGCGCAGGACCGTTCATTGTGGAAAACCTTGGGGGAGGCCTTTGTCCAGCAGTGGACGTCATTTGGCTGAAACGAACGAACCATCATGTCATCGAAGTAAAATATCCTGATAAATAAGGTACACCGATAGAAGTTACAGTAAGAAAAAAGTACCTAATAAGAATGCACATAGTTACATTTTGGTGAAATAACGTCCGAATCACCTGAAAAGCACTGTGAACTTCCATAGAAATCAATAGTTTTCCTGGAAAAGTATCTAAACATCACAATCCTCACCAAACGCCCCCAAGAGGTCTCGTAAGCAGCCATCTTGCAACACCATAGCTGGCCGGCAGCGTGACATGAATCGGATATCGTGTCGGACCCAAGTTCACCCAGTGGCCTCGATTTGCGAAACTAACATTAGAACCTATATGACACGCAAAAATCTTGTTATGTAATCTAAATGACCTCCAGTATTTTTAGAACATTGTATCAAACAGGACAGGAAAATAAAAATAAAAAGCATTTTTAAATAATTATTTAGTAGAGGCCTATCTTATTAATTATATTTCAATAGGTAGGAAGGTTAATACAAAAAATATCACAATTTAAATGCGACTGCAAATACGGCCTCAGATGAGATATGATATTTATAAATAATCTGTTTCCTAAATGGTACCAACCTACATTTATAAACCTTCAAACAACGTGTTTCAAATAAAGTTTCCTTCTACGTAAATCGCAGCGGATAAGGAACATAATCGCCACATTGACCTAACTTTATGTACACTTAACTTTATCTATTTAGAGAAGTCTCCTTCCTACATTAATAAATAACTTTTTTTTTTAAATATAACCGACTTCAAATGCGTGAACACAAAAAAACTAACAATTAAAAAAAATTGATAATACCTATTCAACAAAAAAATAATCGTTCAAATTGGTTCATAATCGGCGGAGATATTGCGTATAAAAAAGTTCATCCCCAATTTTCCACCCTTGGGGGTTGTCTTTTTTAATATTAAATTTAAACGGGACCACCCTTGAGGTATTACCTATACGTCGAAAAAAGATTTGTTCAAATCGGTTCATAATTGGCGGAGTTATCGCGTAACAAACATAGAAAAAAAAAACATACGGGTCGAATTGAGAACCTCCTCCTTTTTTTGAAGTCGGTTGAAAATAACGATAACTCGTCTACCACCTGCCTAGCTCATATTATTTATTTATTTATGTATAATTATCTTGGCTATGGCAGAATAACAGGGTTTGTGGGTCTCCTGCAATCACTGAGTGATAGACCTTTTTGTCTCTTATGATTTTTGTATCTGTAAAAAACTGTAAATGAAACCTGTTTTGAGACAAATAAATACTTTCTATTCTATAAAAATGAAAAAAAAAATCTTAAGTAGTCGTCCAGTTCACAGAACAATTACATTTTCAATTCACAGGTCACTAGACAACTACCTGACAACGCCTCTAGAGGAGCCTCTGGCCGTAACCTACTCATCCTGCATCGACACCTCGCTACCAACGATTGTGTACACCTTCGGCTACCGCGGCCGGGTCGGCGGGCCGGCCACGACTGCCGTGCTGACCGCCTACCTAAACACCAGGAAGAGAAATGTGCTGCTGCTGGACTGGGAGAACGAGGCCAAGAGTGGGGCGCTGGGAATAGCGCTGGGTTATACGTTGTTTGCCGTGCCTAATGCTAAAAAGGTAAGATCTCTACATTTCATTGCTCAATCTTGATTTAAGTTATTAAAGAATAGACAACCTTTTAATTTGTCCCTCAATCCTAAATCCTAATGAAGTAGAAGGGAGTACTAGCTATATCACAGTAGTGGTAGACAAGTGACTTTTCAGACGAGGTGTGATTTATTTATTAGGTGCCCAAAGGAAATTAGGAGTAATTTAATTTAACTGGAGTCCACTTTAATCACCTGGGTGATCAAATCCGGATGACCAAAGTGGAATAGACAAAAAAGAAGAGTAGGTAATCTTTCAAGTCTTCATATGCCATTGATGTAGGCAATTACTTAGCACTAGTGCAATGTTTTTTTAAATAAAATGCACGTTGGTTTCCAGGTCGGTGAAGAACTAGGAAACTCATTGGTGAGACTGGCGAAGGCCGGGCTAAACACGACTCAAATACATCTGGTGGGCCACTCGCTCGGGGCACACGTCATGGCGTACGCAGGCAAGCGCTCCAGGGAGCGAGGATATGTAGTTTCCAGGTATACTTTTGCCTACATTTTATGATGGACAGTATCAATTGTAAACCAGTACTTGAATTTTGTGGGTTAAACTGGCCTGGACGGCTTTTGCGGCTACAACTGGGCATTGTAACGAGACGGCGCCCATGCCACCGTGACTGCGACGTAGTTCGTCTTCACGGCCTCTTCTGCCAACTGTTACGAGCGGCCACCTCTTTCCTGGTGACCGAATCGTCTAATTTAGAGATCACCTCTGGTGATATTGGTGATATCATATCACATCTTCAAAAATATCACATCTTGAAGCCACGATAGCCGAACGGTGAAGGGGTCGGACTGGCCGAGTCGTAATCCGGGGAACGCGGGTTCGGTCCCCGCCGCCGCTCGACGATTGCGGTGAGCTTACTCGTGATACAAGCATATTTAGCTTAGTACGAGGCTAACGGGAGTATTAGTAATTTGTGTAATAACAAATTGCTAATAATCTTTAAAAAATATCTATTGTCCAGGATAACCGGCCTAGACCCGGCGCGCGCGCTGTTCGAGGGCTCATTCGCGCTGCAAAGCGGGCTGGACCGCACGTGCGCGCGCTTCGTGGACGTGGTGCACAGCGACCCCGGCGGCTACGGCGCCGCCGCCGCCGCCGGCACCGTCGACTTCTGGCCCAACTACGTCGGCAGCGGCGGCACGCAGCCCGGCTGTCCGGCCGGCGACTTCGAGATGTTTAGCGCGGAAGGTATATAAAAGCCACAATCTAGATATCAGATTTTTTTATTTCATTCATGTTCACTTACCAGGCATGAATTACTCTAGTTCAATAGCTAGCCAAGGCATCCAATTTCTACTTTAAGCCTAGGCGCAGACCTCAGATCATAGAAAGGGATCCCCTCTATGATCTGAGGCGCAGACCATCGATTTTTCATCGGCATAGTTTAGTCGGGCAGTTGATCAGTATGGGCAATAGGCATGTATGGAACAATGTATGGAAGTGCGCACATTAGGTATACCGATTTGATTTGGCCGATTCTTCATACAAATTAAAATCAGGCTCAACTATCGGCCAGCTAAAAATCGGTGGTCTGCGCCTAGTCTAACCGGATGTCTGCAACACACTTGAGTGTCGTTGCCGATTGTGTGAGTTTGACGATTTGGTATCGGCAGATTCCTCATACAAATTAGAATCGGGCCCAACTATCGGCCAACTAAAAATCGGTGGTCTGCTCTAGGCTAATAAGGTAATTTATCAATGCTCCTGCACATCATTCTAGACCTGTGCAGCCACGACCGCGCGTGGCGCTACTTCGTGGAGGCCATCGCGGCGCCCACGGCCTTCCCCGCCGCCGCCGCTCCCAGCCTGGAGGGCTGGCTCGCGAGGGATGGCCAAACCTCTGACACTATCTACCTTGGCGACTTGACCAACACACGGTGAGAATGTTGCGAAGGAGTCTGCAGACTTGTACACACGCAGCTTGGTGGACCCATCGCGGCGCCCACGCTTCCCGTCGCTTCCAGAACTGACACCATCTACCTGGGCGAAATGCTTGTTGCTAAGGTGTCTGCAGGCGTGCATACACGCTGCTTCGTGGAGCCACCGCAGCGCCGCCACGCCCACTTCACCAGCCCAAAATTGATGAAGATGACCCTGTATTTCAGAGCAATCGAAACCATCTATCTGATCCCCACGACAACCTGTTAAGTCTGACACACAGGGGTTTTTGATACATTACAGTTAAGCACTTGATGCTTTCGTATTCCAATAGAACGTCTGCCTCGGCTCAAGAGGTTTTGGACCAATCAGCCGTAAGCTTATTTATTACTACGCAAACTCATCGTATTCGTATCTAATTAAATTATTTTAAAACTAATCAGAATAATTTTCTGAACTGCCTTGAAACGCAAAGTCACGGTTGCTTAATTTGTCTTTAACGCTTGAATGAAAATAAAAAACGCATTACTCAATGCATTATGATATTAGCAAAAACTGCCAATCATCGCTCACTGGTTCAACAGTAGAGGTTACGTTTTACAACGTAATCGAACCCGCAATAGAAATTGACTAAGAAGGCTCACGTGAAAAGCATCTTCCTAAATGCCTAAACAACGAAACAAAAATCTATGACACCATCATACATAAGTACCATCTTAACAGTAAGTACTTACCATTTCTACAAGCAAGCAATAGCCGATTGAACAGAAACTGTTAAGCAAATACATAAGTATTTGTTGCGAACCCAGTTATTATTATTGGTCGATAACTAATCGAGGTTTTAAACAAAAATAAACCTTGAAAGCCTAATATAGGAAAAAAGGTAAGGTAGGTAAGTAAGTACTTACCAAACGTTAAGTTAAGAAACAATATTGATTCAAGAGCCCGGCCTTCTTACTCGAAAGCACCAGCGATTCAAATGGAACTAAATGATAGCATTCGGCACTTATCTTGGATTTAATTTGAGTGATGGGTAAACAATAACGCGTACCTACAATGATAAGGGGCCCTGTGAGGGTCTTCCGTGATCATTTAACCAGTGCCAAGGCCCCCTTGGTCACGCTTTTCCGGCATGTTAACTGGAAGGGTTTGGGATGAGTAAACTGCTACTTCAGTTCTATAACCTTTGCACTTACATTTTACATCCAATTAATAACAACGAAACCAGTGCGTATATCTCTTCTAGAAATGTGCTTTCCACTCTTCTTTGTATGAGTAAATAATATAAATAATCATTACTGAAATCAAAGATGCCGAGTTTAAAATTGTCTGAGAGAGCTAGTGATATTCAAATATTTGACTAACATCTTTCTAAAAACCCTATAAGTCCACTATGAGAAACATTCCGATACTGAGCGTCCAGCATACATTAGCCATCTATACTCTATAGTAGGGGTGGCCAAACTTTTGACCTGTGAGGTCAACTTATGCTCGAAAATATTTCTTGCGGTCGACTGCAAGGTACAGTTTAGAAGAGCGAAATAAAACATTTTTCATTTTCAATCATTCTGTACAGTTTACTTAACTCTCGCGGGCTACCAAAATCGTCTACGCGGTCGACTGGTAGACCGCGGTCGACCTCTTGGCAAATTCATAGCTTTTCGACCTTACGTTAAGTGAATAAGGTTCAAATTATGGTGGCAATATATTCGACAAAGCCCTATAAACATTTAAGGGTACTTACTTGACAATCTTGACTGTTCTTCCATTGCAGGGCGAGAGGCAACTACTACCTCACGACAAACCCGTCGCCGCTGTTCGGCCGGGGTCCGTCAGGCCTGAGGCCCGACGACAACCAGGCTCGGCGACGGCGGGCCTCCACGCTCACCAGGCTGCTTAAGTACCTCCGGTGATACCTGCGGGACACGTGGGACGGGACTAGGACAGCTGTGCGGATCGTTTTGGGTCTACTGCTGTGAGGGACTGAGGTAGAGTTGTTCAATGTTGACTTTTTTTTTATCCACAACGAGGAAGCTCTTGGCCTGTATCTCACCTGATAAGTGACGATCAGGCCGAAGGTGGAAGCGAGCTTCACCCGGAATCCTCAACCACGGAGGAACTGGCTATCTTACCTCTAACCGCCGGAACACAATAATGCTGTTAACATTGACTTGGTTTTAAGTGCTATACTTACTGTAAACTATTTTGATTTGATTTGATTTGAAGTGCTACTATGAGGGGAGTGAGGTAAATAGTGCTGATTGGTTTTCAAATGTGACAGTGTTTGTTTTTTATAAATGACTAATCGTAGCGATATTATTTTCTTGATAATTTTCACATATGTAAATAAATTGTATTTTGTAGTCCCACCATATTAAAAGGTAGACCATAAGTCCGACTCAGCGTTAGACTGATTATTAGGTGGTAAATATTTCATCCGTTACTTTTAGTAGCCTACTGGCTACCACTATTTTCTTCCCTAGCCCTAGCAAAGCGGCATATTATGATAAGTAAAGTACAATTTGTAACGTGGTATAATTTGTACATAATTTTAATGAAAGAGAATTTAATTACATTTACCCAAGTAGATATTTATCCATATAGAGCTATTAACTATTATATTAATAAAAACAATATGATTCAAGTATATGCCAAAATTGTCCATGCAACCTTGAAGATGCTTTTAGATGCAAAAGGTCGCTTATTTTGATGTGTCATGGTTCGAAGTAAAATGCGAGGAGGTTTTTGTTTTTACTTAGTTAAAATATACTTGTAAAAAAATATATTGTTAAATTGTATTGTACAATGAGTAAATGCGCAGTCGCTATAAAATTTATTTTTATATTTTGGATAGATTTTTCATGGACTATACTAATGTCAATTATTCTAATTGGTCACCAAAGACAATTAAAAAGCCATAGCTAGTGCCTAGTGTAATCTAGTATTATTCTACATTATAATGTTTTAATGCATATTGTGTGAAAATGTGTTTAAATGTAAGCTATGAATAATTATTTTAATCAATAAAATACAAATATATAAATGTATTATCATATTTTATTGCATTTGTCTTAGCTAATATATTTTTACATAAATTGTTATGTACCTATAATAAAACATTTTTTGTTCTTATAAAATAATATTCGTACGAGTAGCTAATTACTCTATTCCAGCATCACTTTTGATTAAGGTACAAAAATACATCGTTAAGAAACAGGCGGTAATTCTTATAGTAATAGTGGCGATTGGAAAAAATGCCCTAACGAGAGCAGAATTTGGGAATTCATCAAACATGTTCAAAAATACCAATGGGTGGGTTCCATCCAAGCTCCAAAATTAAAGGCGATCTGTGATGTTTTCTTTAGTCTTTCTTATTTTCAAAAACCACGTTTTAGTGACAATCTCTGGCACAAATCTAGGTACTTTGCTACCAATTGAACCAATCACAAAATTAATCTTTGTCCAGGAGGCCAGGCTGTCTTAGACCTCATTCAGAGTGGTGGCAAGTGCGGGTGACCCCCATCGAGTTAACTGCGCGATCGAGTCACATTCACCCGCACACCTCCCAGTACCAGTCGACGATGTGACGTCATGGCTGCCCATTGCGCAGTTAACTCGACCGGGTCGTAGACGCAAACGCCAAGCCCGCGTCTCTATTGCAATCTGACTGAGGCCTTAGGCCTCAGCCTCGAGTTTAGCGGGCAGCGGGGCGGGAGCGGCGGCGGCGCGGGAGCGGCAGGATCTTATGCGTAAAATCAAATAGACCGGTTCTCGAAAACAGCGGCGCGGGAGCGGGCAACGAGCGGGCAGTGCACTCCTTCTTTTGCTCATTAAAAAACTCATTAAAACTCATTTATTTCTGTAAATAGGCTTAAAAAAAAGCACTTTTACTGCCCACAATAAATCGAGCGTTAGGAATAAATTTGAATCGAAATAAAATTGTCGCCGTTGTTCAGACATTTCGTTTGCGAATAAAAACAAATATCTCGCCAACACAACCCCGAACACAACACTTCGCCGCTAAAGCGCCGCGCGAGCTGCCCGCTTGTTTCGAGAACGGTCTGCGTTGCCCGCCCGGCTCCCGCGCCGCCGCCGCTCCCGCCCCGCTGCCCGCTAAACTCGAGGCTGAGGCCTTAGGCACACTAGAGTATCCGAGTGGACCCATCTCCGGATCCCTGTGTGTCAGAGTATAGGAGACACTCACTATGCTACGTGGGCGAGGCGGAGTAGAACCGCTTGAGGCTGGCGTCGATGTCGACGATGGCGTCGCGCACGGCGTGCGACGCGCCGCCCACCGCCTCTAGCGAGCCCGCTAACCGCTCGACCGCGCGCGCCTGCAACCACAGGCAAAAGATTCTCTTTTTAAAATAGGCTAGATGAAAAAATTTCAATTATTTGTCCGTCAGACAGATAATTAGAAAATATTATGCCCATTTTCACCATCATTCCTGATTTTTAAGTGACCCCTATGTAAACAAAATTCCTGTCATTTGCTACCATAGGGGTCACTAGGGATTGATGGTGAAAACGGGCATTAGACTCGAATTTTATTTTATTTTTTTATTAAATAATAACAGTGCTACATCGAGTTCAAATGTCGCGTGACGTCACTTTTGAGTAGATTTTTTACTCAAAAGTGACGTCACGATTATACGTTACATTACATACTGTAATGATTCGATTATGAAAAAAATGAAAAAATACGTGCTCAATATTTTTTATTATCTGTCTGATGGACTACATATAGAATTTCGAATTCATTACCCAGTTATCATCCCGATTCTTTCGTCGTTAAATTAACAATAATCGTGCTAAGGGAAAACAATAACGCAACACATGAGTCATGAAGCAATAAAGATATTATGATTATGATAACAAATAATATGTAAGTGTTTTCTAAAAATGTGTATTTTATGAGGTACAAAGACACTTAAAAAGTATAACATTTGGTTGAATTTGTTTGGTTGTTGTTACCTGAATATGCGAGGCGTCTGCAAGGCGCTCCATGGCTTGCGAGTGCACTTGCGACGCGCGCGCCATCTGCGTCAGAGCCGATGCTTGCTCGCTCATCACTTTTACCTGTCGAATTTCAAACAAAAAATCACTACTAGGTATTAATTTTAAATTACATTTCTCAAAAATCCATTATGAAATTATTGAAAAAAAAAACCCAGCTGCGTAAAAATGAACTTGTGGTGTAAAACAAAGACATTGAATGTTTGCAGGTAAAAACATAATAGTCTGGGAAAATTAAGAATAATACAAATAATGAACCTACATAGACTAAATATTTACAAATAAAAAATATGTCCCAAATCGCTGTCCATAGTCTGGGTGTCCTATAGCCACAGAAAAATCCAAGAAACTAATACAAGTCAAACAAAGCATTGAAAATAAAAAAACTATCATTAATGTTGATAATTTTGAAAGAACATTACCAATTTATCCATAATAGCTATTTGCCGATCCTCAATATCAACAATTGGTTCCTCAAATGCAAGGACCGGGTCCTCTTCGTGGTCTTGGTCTATGCTATCTTCGTTGAAGAAATTCTCATCCAGAAAATGAGTTTCTTGCTTTACTGATGTGTTTCTCTGTTCTGAAATAGAAACAATAAGATATTTTTTTTACTTTATCAACAAAATGAAGGTAAGTTTTTTTTTATTTTATTTAGTAGGCAAATGAGCAGATGTATCACCTCTTATTATTAGCATTGAAATAAGCAAGTTTGTAATATTTTTATGGGTAAAAGCAACTCACTTGTGCTTGTACTATCATTGGCTAGAAACAGGTCCCAAATCTTCTTCTCTATGTTTGAACAGAGGGTGTTAGGGTCCCCTCCTGTTGACTGCACTTTTGCCCGGACTGTGGACTTTTTATCTGCCCAATACTGCAAGAAGTAGAGTTGTTAATATATTACTTGCTCAACTACCATTTAATTTATTTCTGTAAGAATGTCTGTCTGTATCTGTCTTTTTATAATTTATGAGCTTTGATTAAGATTAGTTCAGTGCTCAGTCAAGATTTAAACCAAAAGATCTCAATAAATCAGTATTCTTAATGTAAATAATTAGTTGTATGACTTCACAATAGCCATCTAAAACAAATGATAAGCTTGCCGATGGGAGAACAATGCCTACTTTATTTCATAAAAATTGTTATTTTAATCTGGAAATTTTGTGGTTTAAGATATTTATTTCTCACAAGAATCATAATTCACTTACGTGAGATAATTAAATACAATATTTTGTAACAATAGCTTTGGATAGACCAAATTTAGTACCTTAACCCAAGACTTCATAGGCCTGGTGGGCCCGGAGAGGTTGTTGACGGTCATGGTGAGCTGCAGCCACAGCTTCTTGCTCTCGTCGCGGCCCTCCAGCCCGCGCAGCTGGCCCAGCGCCAGCGCCGGGTGCTTCTCCATGAACTCCACGATGGCCATCACCTGCTCCATGCTCGGTCGGGACTAAAAACCATTTATTTACTAATAAACAACAAAATGAAAGAAAATATTGTCAACAATAGATGGGTGTACTGACGTGAAAGTTGCTTCATGTTTACTACGCCGCACACCAGTGACAAAACAAAGTAAAATTCAATAAAACCACCGGCGAATCTATCGCAGGAAAACTTCGAAATTTAAGTTCAAACGAAACCGATGGTAAGATCGATCGCGTCTCAAACGAGAGTATGAGAGCCTGAGTAGTGGACAGCAACTGCGTAGTAGCTAAGCAATCGAGTTGTAATAAAATTTCTCGAAATTCAAGCAAGTAAAATAAAAACGCTGGAGACTTACCGCTATTGAACGATCCGTCATGATTATTAATAACTCACATTACAAGAATGATAAAAAGTAATTAACTAATTTTGTATTTTATTTACAAATGCCAATGTTTGTTTATTCCTTTTTTCGATCTCAATTCACGTTCCAAAACTCTGGGATGGGAAAACGTCGATAACATTTTCATTCAATGACAACCATTGGTTGGGGATCACACACAGATAAATAAAAACAATTCAGCATCCATAGTCAGCATCCGTTATAAATTTTTAGCGTTTAGAGTCGCATCAGTTATTTATAATTTTCAAATTCAGCATCCGATTAAAATTTCGATTAATCGTTTCACAATCATTTTCCGTTCTGCTTTGTACTGCACTGCGCTCTAGACAGAATGACGAAATTTGTAAGATTATGTAGACATTTATTACTGCCAATCAGTGCGATTTTATTTATAAAAATTAGCTACAATTTCGTTAAGTTAAAGTAATTTTGTAATCGATTCGATTTAATCGTAAATCAAACGTTTAGTTCGTCCCAATTCCCAATAGCCACCCTTTACCAATGGCCACCCACACTAGTTGCTCTCGTAACTAGTTGTGAAAACAAACACTACAAGCAAAATAAATCATTTTACATAAACATTTGTGGATTCACTCAACTTGTATTTATTTTTATGTATTTAAGATTAACGGAGTATTATTCAAGAAGAACAACAAAAAACAATGGATAAGTCCATAATTACAACATTTATTTTGAAAACTCCATAATGCTAGTTTAGCCACTTAATCTAGTTTTTGGTAATCTTTTGCATAATCAATCAATGTCCGGAAAGCTCGCCATTGTTTAAAAGGTTTTGAATTAGTTTGTTACTCTCTGCTCTTTTGATTTTTCCACTGTGCGTATACGGCAAAGAAGACACAAATACTATTCCACCCCGAAGTCGCTTGTAGTCACTCAAAGTAGCTGTAATAAAGCAAATGTGAAATTAACAAAATAATCATTTTCGTTTAAAACAGCAACAATCTTTTACCATTCCGTTAAATTAATATCAGTTTGTGGGACTGGAGATGCATTAGTTTTAACAGAGTATTATCATAGTCCGTGATTAGTAACACTTGTTGAAGAGTAGTACGCCAAATCTTACCATTAATAGTTTTATGGATATTTTCCCTCACATCAATGGAAAAGCCGGGACGAAGCACCACACCCGCTGCAGGACCCTTCTCGCTTTCACATACTACGCATTCTTTTACACCATCCACCGAATTAATCACATTTTCTAGCTCTTCAGGGGATATCTGTCAAATCATAAGCATAAACGTTTATTTATTTATACAGAATTTCCATTTCTTCGTTATTTTTTATAGGCACCCAGGCAGATTTACTTTCCCTACCTACATGTCTTTTTTATATTATGTAAATGTCACCCCATGGGTATGTACCCATGGGGTTTACACTAAGTAATAATAATAATAACAACATAGGTAATTACAGTTTGAGCAGTACCTATGTACTTACATGGTTATTGTAATATTTGAACCAGAACTTCTTTCTTTCAATAAAATGTACTTCATTGTTATCATCTTCGTAGAATACGTCTCCTGTTATAAGCCAACCATCAGATGTAAGTACCTCATGAGTACCATGTGAATTCTTATAGTAGCCCTAAAATAAAAAGTGTACTTCCAGTAAGAGTTTTCATAACCATAGCCCTATACCTAGTAGAGAGTTAAATCCAACCAAGTGATTAAAGATGATTTTTGCTCTAGCTAGAGACTTAATTATTTGATAGTTATTAAAATATGATCAAATAAATATTTCATTTGAAACCCAATTGGAACGACAATTTAGTAAGGCTTGAATCACTTGCCTGATTTAGAAATAAAAAAGTAGTTAATACTTACGATAAATGGACAAGAAGTGCTTCTCAAGAGAAGCTCGCCTTTTTTATTGGTTTCTGATTGTTTTCCACCTTCGCCAGACAGCTTCGGGAATATAAAATCTACCTATGTATTGTGAAGTTTATGATAGAATCATATTTCTAACTTATAATCGTTATCATTGAGCACATACCTTGTAGATCCAGGTGTTTATTATTCTATCATTCGAATCCCAAGCTGTCCTTGGACCTGGCATTGTAAAAAAGCCATGAGTTTCAGTCATACCCACACCGCTACCGAAGTAACATGATGCTGATAACTTTTCCTTTAATAGAAAAAATACTAAGTTCAGTAAAAAAATGTTGGTATCAACTCAATACGTATTAAAAATCAGTAGTAAATAAGAGTACAAATTTACTTTCAACAATTTGGCAACTTTATTCGTTAGAGGTGCTCCTGTTAGGATTACTGTTTTCAAGGAACTGAGTTGATGAGTAAGTGCAGATTCTACAAGGGACTGGGCAAATGTTGGCCCAAGGAGTGCCCAGGTTGGCTGAAAAAAAAAACAAATAACGACGAAACACTTTCAATGCACTTGTTGTTAAATTCATATTATCCAAATCATCTAAATGCATTAAGTATTCTTACTCGATATAAGTATACAATATCCAAGATGTGTTCAGCAGTAGGTTTCTGTGGTGTCATCAACAAACTAATACCATAAACGGGGCATGTGGTCATCAAGATTGTATGCGTCATCCACTGTGCAGAAGACAGAAGTAGCGCCAATTCCGTTGGCTGTGGGAAACGCTCGTGATGAATCCTGGGAATATTAATTTTGTCATAATAATTATCACTTTTTAGTTGGTAGGTAAATACATGTTCCAACACCAATACACATCTGATGAAGTAAAAAATGGATTGACCCCTACGTCGTTTTCTGCATGTCGTAAGTTCGTAACTATTTATGCTTCCTTTTTTACTTTAGTAATAATTATTATCTTCAATTTCATGGACAAAGATATAAAAAAGCAGAAAAAAACCTACTTACCAAAGTACAGGTAGTTGAGCTATCAAACCATTATGATTCAATATTGTAGCCTTTGGTAATCCAGATGAGCCACTTGTTGGCAGCAAAAGGGCGGTTGAATCTGGAGTTGCTTCAGATACCCTGTAAAAAATATCAAATTAAAAAGGAAATCATAATATACCGCTCCAAATGCGTAATTTGAAAAACTTACTGAAAACTGTCCATGTCATCGCTATAGCGCTCGACAAAAAGCTCCAAACATTGTGTATCATTAGCTATGATAACCTTAGTATCTAAATTAGGTGTCGCTTCAGTAGCAATTTTGAAATTATCAAAACAATCATGATCGCAGAAAACAAAGTATGGTGATACCAAATTCATAAAGTGTTGTATTTCATCTGAAATTTTGTCGGAATCAAAAACTATGTAATGTGTAGCTATGAGTGATTAATACAAATATACGAAAGATACACAAATTATGTTTTTCATAACTTACATCTTGTTGAATTAGAATCTATCAGCAACGGCACAACCCCGGAAAATATTGCGGCGTAGTACAGAGATGCCATATACTGACTATTTTTCATTATTAATAAGATTTTCCTATCTTTTTTTATTTGGTCTTGTAATGCGCGGGCGAGGGGAATGGAAAATTTAAGTATTTGACGATTTTTTATTTTGTCTCCATTAAAACCGTTAATCTGAAAGTTTGATAAGGTAGAAAGTAAAGTGAACAGTTAAACGTTACGAAAAACTTAAAAGAAAAACTTGAAATCAATAAAAACTTACCATATAAACATCATCCAAACGCTGTTTCATAGAATAATAAATAATCTTACTGAGATTTATTTCATCCCGTCGTATTTGACGTTTATTTTTAAGTTTTTCTTCGTGTATTATTGCTTCTAAGATCGTATCGAGATGTAGTTGACTCGTAGTAGGTAAACCTTTCATAACTGTATGCGACATACCTATAAAAATAAACGAGGTTGTTTTACAATAATTAGAATGCATCATAAAATTAAAGGTATCTATAATTTAAATTCTATTAAGTAAGTATGTAACTCGCTAACATTGTTTTGTATTTTCTTAACGTGCTAATCAGAGCGAGATGGAAAAGTAATATTCTCAGCCATGAAAAAATACAATAACTGAACTACAATAAGTAGTTCCATAAAATATTTAATACATAAATAAAAAATAATTTTGATTATTATTTATCAAAATTATGAAATGTCTCTTAACGCTTGAAAATTTTAATAATTAAGAACAGATTTCGTAAAATAAATATCTACAAAAAATAAATTAACCCTTAACTGGTAAACGTCATGCGTGGGGGCCGCGCGGCCCCCACGCATGACGTTTTCTTTGATTTCTAAGAAGCTACGCATCGTGGGCAGCCAAAATTTTTGGTCTTCTCATTTCGGCGCTACTCGTGTCTGGTGCAGGCGTTTCAGCACTGCATCATTCACCAGGACGAAGATATGCACGTGTTGGGGTCCGCGCGGCCCCCACAATACCAGTTACGTTAGTTTTTTTTTTAATGGCAATTTTTACTTGTTTTTGGTTTTTTGTAGTATTGATGGCTTATAAGTGATAACACAATAGAAGATACCTAGAACGAAGTTTTTGATTCCAAATTAGTGATAAGTAGCATGTCAGAAGAAGGATATAGTGATAGTAAAATTATAGGTCATTGTGAAGACCCAATAACCAATATTCGGTCGATAATGAGGATATTGATTCTGATTTTCAAGTTTTTTCTTTAGAGAGTGAAAATGAAGATGTTGTAGGACCTAGTCACTCCAGCTACTATGAAAAAATAAATACAAGTGGTCTGAAAATCCACCACCACCTGCTAATGTTTGTCAACATAATGTTTATGTTTTTATTTTTATAAAATGCTTATTATTTTTATTAAACATAACATTAAAACGTTATTTATTATTAAGTTCACATTATTATGGATTAATTAAAATAATAATATTTTTGGTTTAACTTTCTAATCGATAGGTTTCATAGATATCAGTAACGTTAAAAAAATATTACGTAAAAAGTTGTTATAAATAAATAATGAATAAATAAAT